GCAGTTCAAAAATCCGGAAGGACAAGTTGCGAGATGGATAGAACTACTGCAGGAATACGACTTTGTGATCGAACATCGCAGCGGGAAATCTCATGGCAATGCAGATGCATTGTCAAGAAGACCTTGCCCTGAAGATTGCAAGCATTGTACTAGGCAAGAGGGTAAGGAAGTGGTATCTGTGAGAATGCTCAGGACAGACCAGCTCAGCAATGAGTGGAAGGACAGCCTACAACATGCACAGCAGGAAGATTCGGACATTAAGCCGATTCTGGAATGGATGAAGGCCAGTGCTCCTAAGCCCAAGTGGAGCGACGTCTCAGCAATGAGTTCGACCACGAAAAGCTATTGGGCCCAATGGGACAGCTTGCTGATTCAGGATGGAGTCCTGTGCCGTAAATGGGAAAATGGTCGGGGAGACAGATGTCATTTGCAAATGGTTGTTCCTAAGGCTAAAGTGCCGGATATTCTACAGCTGTACCATAGTGGTTGTTCAGGAGGCCACCTGGGAGTTAAACGAACTCTCCTGAAGATCCGAGAACGGTTTTACTGGGTCCACTGTCGTGACGATGTCGAGGACTGGTGCCGCAAATGTACAAGTTGTGCGGCTGTAAAGGGACCTCAAATACGTAGTAGAGGCGCATTGAAATTGTACAATGTTGGTGCACCATGGGAGAGGATAGCCATTGACGTTGCGGGGCCGTTTCCAGAAACTGAAAGTGGTAACAAGTATTTCATGGTAGTGATGGATTACTTCACTAAGTGGCCAGAAGTCTTCGCCATTCCAAATCAAGAAGCTTCAACAATTGCAGATAAACTAGTTCATGAAGTCTTCTGTCGTTTTGGAGTACCTTTAGAGATTCACAGCGATCAAGGAAGGAATTTCGAGTCTCAAATATTCCAGGAAACTTGCAGAGTTATGGGTACTCATAAAACACGAACAACTTCTTACCACCCACAATCTGATGGAATGGTAGAACGATTTAATCAGACATTGGAAAGGTACCTGGCAAAAGTTGTGGAAAAACGGCAACGAGACTGGGACAGGCACATACAACCGTTTTTGTTGTCATATCGAAGCGCTGTTCACGAAAGTACGTCAGTGACACCAGCTTTCGCAAACTTTGGGAGAGAATTACGGCTGCCTGCAGACCTGATCACCGGAATACCACCTGATGCCCCACGCAGTATAACCGATTATGCAAATGACTTGCGGAACAAAATGAATGACATTTATGAGCACGTCAGACAGACGGGCCAGCAAACGTCTGAGAAGATGAAAACACGGTATGACCGCAAAATGAACAACAAGGGCTTTGATGAAGGTTCACTAGTGTGGTTACACAATCCAGTTCGCAGCAAAGGGAAATCTCCTAAGCTTCAAGCTAAATGGGACGGACCGTACCGGATTGTGACAAGGATCAATGATGTAACCTACCGGATACAGAAAGGTGCCAGAGGTACTCCTAAGATTGTCCATGTGGATCGACTGGCGCGTTATTATGGGGCCAATAATACTCGGGACGAGCATGTCTTAGGAGGGGGCAGTGTTACGCGCCACTATTAATGTCTTGTACATGGCAACACTAGTTACACTAGCGCCCCCTAGTGTCGAGTAAATGAAAGTATTGCGCGCCACTATTAATGTCTTGTACATGGCAACACTAGTCACACTAGCGCCCTCTAGTGTCGAGTAGCAGAACTAGGAGAGTCGAGATCCTTCCAGAAATTTCGGGACCGATATGTACTCGAACATTCTAGATGTCGCTACAGTAGAAGGTTCTGGAAACTATCTGAGGCCCTATATAAGGCCGGTATAGACCACGACCGGGGCAGTATTGAATTGGCGATACAAGAGAATACTTCGAAGCGAAATAACGGCGAACTGTGTTTTATTATTAGTGTGATTTTAGATTATAATTAGTGTTGTGTAATTAAAGTGTCAATTTTGGTAATTCAATCGGCAGTTTTTAATTGTCTCGAATCCCAAGCTCGTAACAGTAGTAAGTCTTGTATGATATCCCCTTTAAAATCATTACTCAAGAGTTGCGGGTTGTTATTTTTTGTGTCTCACTACCAATGCTTTTCTAATATTTATTAAAAAAAAAGTAGTAAATTACTATTAGCGTCCTTTCAACTTCAAATGACCTTTCCAAAATATGTAAAATTGTTAAATGATTGGCAGTTTTTTTTTAAATTTATTAGGTTGGAAAGACGCAAATAGTTATATGCGTCTTTCCTTCGATGTTTTTGTGTTGCCAGGTGTATTTTTTAAGCTAAGATGAAAAGGAAAATTCGTTTTATTTAAATAAATAAACAAATTATCAAAAAATTTGTTCGTCCTTAAAATCTTCATGTCTCTACGTATATATTTCAATTTTCATATAGATACCTTTTAATATACTTTAGACACAGGGTCTGAAAGAAAAATTAATCAATTTATTTTTTATTTCCATTTTACGTTTTTGTTAGTTGCGTCCTTCTTTATGTAACCCGACGACGGCAGAATGTAACCCGGCCGGCTCGTGTCGCCTCACGCTGTGACGCAGTAGACAAAGAGTATAATAACTGTCCTAGCAGTAGGTTTCAGTTTTGTTGGGGTTCGTTATTAATTGTAGTTTTTGAAACAGTTCCGTGTTGATTTTGTACACGCGTGCGCGAGCGACAGCTCAATCGTATTGTTATTACTTGTGATTACGTGTTGGTATTATTCTTGTTGTTACGTTTTTTGTTTTAATAATGCTTAACGCGTACTTTTATAGTGATTGTGAATACAGCAACATGTTATCCGAACCCAGGTACAGAAGTATCGCCAAATAAATTGTTAAGACGTCGGGATGGAACAAGTGTGTCATACTGTGCAGTGCACAAAGTGTTGAAGCGTAACCGAATGCGCCCATACAAATTGCACAAAGTGCAAGCTTTAGTTCCCGGCGATCACGACCGCCGACGAGTTTTCTGCCGTTGGTTATTATACCAGCGACAACGTGTGCCTGGTTCCATTGAGCACATTATCTGGACGGATGAGTCGACATTTACCAGAAACGGCCTGTGGAACCGAAGAAATACACACGTGTATTCAGAGGTTAACCCGCACGCTGTTCGACAAACCGGGCACCAAACCCGATGGTCGGTTAACGTATGGGCAGGTTTATTTAAGGATCGCATAATGGGACCAGTGTTTCTGCCACAGCGACTGAACAGACAGCGATACCATGTCGTGAGGTTCGTCCGTGATCGCCTCAATGAGCTATTTGATGATCGCTGGATCAACAGACTAGGACCACACGCTTGGCCACCTCGCTCACCATATCTGACCCCGTTAGACTTCTTTTTGGTATGTGAAAGAAAGGGTTTTTAATCGTGAGTGTGATAGTGCTGACAAAATGCGCCAAAGTATCGTGGATGCTTTCGAGAAACTATCTACGGACTGTGTCGAAGACCACACGATGATGCCCCGCCTGCACCCAAATCTACCTTGAAATGAATGGAGCACAATTTGAGCCGCATCTCATAAGACCACGGAGGATTTAGAGCGGTAAGCTGTTTCATAACTATTTTTTTTAAATAACTTAGTACTGAACTAATCTGAATAGGTACATAACTGAATACATGAGAATAATAAACATACCTACACGATGAATAAAAACGCATGACTCCAACCTTGGTTACATTTCATTTAAGTATTTTTTCATTAGCGTATGTAGTGGTATGGCCCGCTAGTTGCGGGCCGCGCGAATTTGCGTTCGCGAGTACATTGACCTTTAGTCAGGTGATACAATTCAGTCATTCCACTGCTGGTTTTATGTTTCAGTATTTTCATGATATTTTTTATGAAATTATCGTTTCATTTAGCTGTACTAACATGATGGCGCGTGAATAAAGCTAATAAAACGTTGTTAAAAGATGATTTTTTTTCATAAGGATCGAATTTATTTGTGACCCATGATCAAAGGTATACTTGGTGCTGTCGCCTGTCTTAGTTTTCGGGAGCGTTCCAAAAATACCCTGTATAGTTCTACCTTAGTAACGGAATCAATAATTCTAGGTCATTATAAAAATAATAAAATATGAGCACGTTGTAATATTGTGTTTGTATTTAATATCAAGGAATCTGCAGCTAGAAAGAAACTTACTGAGAAATTTAAGAAAATACAAAGCCAAAATATTTATTTAAAGAAAAAATGCGCTTCTTACAAATCATTTGGAAAAAATTTTAAACATAAATTCGGTCTCAAACTAAATGCTGAGATTGATTTGATGGCTAAAGCAGAAGTTGTGAATTTACGTTGTTGTTGTTATTTATTTTAAGTTGTGAGTTATCAGAGTTACATGAATCTTTAATGAAAAATAATAAACAGAGCACGCATTATTTACTAATACACTGCATGCACCTTAACGTAAATTCGCATTGTTTTTACACTATTATTCACCAGCTGCGTATAAATACGTTAGAGAATTCTAGAAAAGTAATAATAATGATCTTTGAAAATAAATTCATATTTTTATATTTTACATATTTACCTTTTAACGTATTAAATAAAATATCATAAAAATGTAATTCTGTCAAAATATTATGTTATATTATATTAAATTAACACATAAATGCAAAATAAATAACAAAAAAATTGTACTCGATATATTTTACAATACAATCTAAATAAACAATTACTTATTACATACTGATCATTCTACCTACGTATAATCTATGATGACAAAAACCACGCATGCGCGACTCTACTATTTACGCATGCGCGCAGACATAGAGTAGCGCACATTTTTTGTTTGGAATAGCTTCTCTAGCACGTAGTACTTTATAACCAAGGAGATTGTAAAATAACCTCCTTGATTATAACTCAATGTTTACGTTACGTTTTGCTTATTTTTTTAAATCTAAGTGTCAATTGAATAGTTTGTCTATGGTCACATAGTTTCAAGGTTGATAAAAATAGTTAAATTTAAATTAACGACCTACTATAAATTTAATTCATTATTAATTTGAAATGCAGAACACAATAGATGAAAGCGTTTCCGAAGTTATATTTGTAGACTTTGGACCTATTGCCATTGATACAATGACTGAAAAATGTATTACGATTCAAAATAAATCTGATGTAAGTGAATATAATATATACATATGTAATAATACATTACTATTTGCCGCTGTTCATTAATTTGTAAGGTCTCTGAGACCAAGTATCTAGGGGTCATAGTTGACCAACATTTGTCATGGCATAGGCACATTGAATTAATCATGAATAGACTTAGGAAACTTACTTGGACATTTAAAACACTAAGAAATATCGCTACGAAAAATTTAGTTTACCAAATATATATTGCTTTGGCACAGTCTATTTTAGTATATTGTATTCCTGTATGGGGTGGTGCTACTAAAACTAAGTTTTTAGAAGTTGAAAGGGCACAGAGAAATTTGTTAAAAATTATGCATTTTAAACCAAAAAGATTCCCAACAGAAGATCTCTATGCTATAAATAATGTACTCACTGTTAGGAAACTGTACATCTTATATTCCGTTCTAAGACTGCATAAAGGTATAAAGTTTGACCGTTGTATTGTAGCCAAAAGAAGGAAAAACCTAGCAGCTACTGCCGTCACTGTTAAAACCGCTTTAGCTAGGAGGCAATATGTAAAACAGTCTGCGACTCTATACAACGTCATTAATAAAAACATAAATATTTACCACCTTAATTACCGAAATTGCAAATATGCTCTAACCAAATGGCTATTGAATAAGAGCTATGATGATACTGAGGCTCTTTTAAGCATCATAAAATAATGTAATTTAATTGTAACACACACACACACACACACACACACACACACACACACACACACACACACACACGCACGCACGCACGCACGCACGCGTTTGCGCATAAACGCACCTTTGGCGTAAATGTAATTACTTTTATTATCTTAATTTATATAGTTAAAAGTGCTATGGAAGAGCGGAGTCTCCTAACACAAGTTTTTATACTTATAAGGAGACCCCGTCCCCGGTTATAATTAATGTATGATCATTTACTGAATAAACTATTTTTATTTTATTATTTTATTTATAATACAATAAATTTTCCTACTCTTAGATTATTGATAGGCGCGAAGACCTATCAATAATCTAAGTCCCTACTATTCTTAGTTTTACTATTTTTTTATTCGCATTGGAATAAAATATTTAAAGATATTAGCTACTTTTTTTTTCTTTGGTTATGGACTCTTAAATATACATTGGCCAATGTAAAGTAGGTACGACGTAAAACAACGGCTCCGTGACGCAGAGGCTTAGCAGCGAGTTGCTGTGATGGGGGCTGCGGGTTCGAATCCCGCACGGAACAAGTATTTGTATGGCCTGCAAATAATTGTTCCGGGTCTGGATGTTTGTCCTTGTGCAATTTATGTTTGTAAACTGCCTCCACGATACAGGAGAAAATGGGGTAATGTTTTTTTTTAATTAAGTTCTTCACTATACACTCATGAGTGCGTCACATTACAAAGTTTTTGACGACATCTCACCGCAGCGGACGATGACGACAGTCAGTGCCTGATATAGAGTTCCGACATTCCTAGGCTAACTATGAATATTCGCCCCCCACCGGCCTGTTCTGTCTGCTGTCTGCCTGCCCAGCCCACGAATATATTTACTAGATTTTTGTATCTTACTAGCTTTCCACCCCGCGGTTTCGCCCACATTAAATCAAATTAGTAAATGTTGATCATCGCGAATGAAAAACTGCAACACCAGGAAAATTGTAGGTGCGTTGCTGACCCTTTTTAAAAAGAGTAAGCTCGTTTCTTGAAGGTGTCTATGTCGTATCGGTCCACAAAGAAGTCTTGCTAGGAAAAAAACTTCTAGTAAATCGCACAGTTATGGTGTACCGCCAAGCATCCAGATGGTGTGAATGGTGCGTGAAATTTGGCGGCTGGAATCAATCCGAACAATTTCTCTAAGTACTCCTCATGGAAAATGCGATAGAAAATGCAATGGGATGCAACATCTCTTCGCAGCGCCAGTTGATTGAGACGGTCAGACAGAACTCAGTCGTCGACGATTCGAGCTACTCTTTGCTGGATGCGCTCAAGCGGAAGGAACTGGCACTAGGGTGTCCCGGTCCAGAGATGAAATCAGTACTCCGTGTGAGGCCACTTGAGCTTTGTAAAGTTGCAAACGGTGTGCCGGCATGATATACTGTCCTGCTCTGCTGAGCACGCCAAGCTTTTTAGAGGGCAATTTAGCCTTTCCTTCCAAGTGACCGCGGAACTGTACGTCAATCGATATGACGATGCCGAAGATTCCGATGTTGGCTGAGACAGCATAAGAAGTGCAAAGAAATTGAGGAGATGTGACAAAGGAGTTCCTTTTAGCGATAACCGCGCAAACCTGTGTCTTCTGAAGTTTAAACTTGACTAGAGTCGTCCCCAATCCGAGGTTTTGTTTATTAAAGACTCGACTTCAGATACAACTTTGTTCCGATACTGGATGACGTGTTCCCGAGAAATATTAGCGCGGCCGGTGTAAAAAGCATCACCAGTGTTACAACCACTAACAGCAACATATAGCTATTATACAGGAGAAACAGCGTAGGTGATAGCAGACAGTCTTACAGGAACACTAGTATTAATAGGCTTGTAGTCAGTGTATGTACCGTCTATGAACAAGGTACCACCCTATGAACTGGAAGTTTATAATGGATTAAATTATTTTGGAGAACAACGAGACGATGGTGATAAGTCGGACAGGTCTGATCGGTCGACTTTTTAGGAATTGGATGCACTAAACCTGTCTTCCATTAATTCAGGATTACGCCTAGGGAGTAATAGTACTGCAAAAGACGCGAGAACCGGTACTAACCCCAGAGCACTCGTCTTCAGCACAATAAGAGCGACTCTATCAGGCCCGCTCTACTTGTTGACGTTCAGGTAGAAAGCGTTGTGTAAACCGCACATCCAGCATGGAACAATGACACCGTGGGATGGTCAGCGGTGTGTATCTCCAGTCATCGAGAGTCGAGTTGGACTCAAAAAGAGAACTTAAAAGATCGACTTTCTCCTTTGCGGCATGGGAAAGTGAGTCGTTCTCCCTGTGCAGAGATGGAACAGATGGCTGATAGAAGTTATCTTGGACAACCTTGGCAAAACACCTTAATAAACTAAACTATAAGTAGAGAAGAGACCTTGTATAATTTAAATCTTTGAATCACGTCTAGACAGTCAACGAAAGACGAAAGGTAGCAAATAATTCAAAGTCTTATTTTACAATCTACTTATTTGTTTTGTACCAAAAACGAGGAGCAATAAGTAAATTACTCGCGGAACTAATATCTATCATTTATTACTCTATCATTTATTGTGAATATTACACCAAATTTTAATCTGTACATAAATGGTGCTTGCAAAGGCAAGCTCAGTGCCCCCTCGAACCTTGCGCCCTAGGCTCCAGCCTGGTTAGCCTGTGGGTAAATGAGGCCCTGACGACAGTAAGTCAAGTTCTAAAGGCGCCTAAGTGAACAAAATAACTTGAGGTTTATATCACTTGTTTCGGCATTTTCACTAATAGTTCACATGCGTAGATACTTAATACACAAAATTGCATCACTTTTACGTATCAACATCCACTTCAAATAATTATTTGACGGTAAAACAGAAGCAACTACCCGTCGACGGTCAAGTACCCGCCAAAACTCACAATCGAAGTTATCGCCGTAAGTATCGATACAGCACGCCTCACAATACATAAATCGTGTTAATAAACGATCAAATTTGATACTCATCGGACAACTGGTTTAGTTCTACAGACCAAATCCGCTGGTCACCGCAAACGACCGGATGTAGCCGTCACCTTGAGTACTCAATTATGTAAGGACGTCATGCATCCGATGTTTAATTTTAACTGAACCTCTTTCTACTCTCGCCTATACTTAGATTTTCTTCTTCATCTGCTCATAAATGTCCTAGGCTGGACATGGACCTCTCCCGAGGTTTTGCTTTAATGGACTGAATGGAATGACGGTTATAGTACCGGAGATCTCGCACATTCGACGGTGCTGCCCGTTCCCCGTTTGGATATTTTAAAACAAACATAAGCGAGATTGTTATACCGATATCTCTCAGAAGCCATTCGGTTGTTTTTTTTTTTCATTTCCAATAGTCGTCTGTTATGACAACCACGGGACGAAATGGAATGATGGGTTTTCTTACTCTGCCACCACAAAGCTAAGTTCGCAAATAAAATTTTGTTTTAGTTTTAGTTCTTCTTGCTCTAATTATATTTAAAAAAAAACATCCCCTAAAATTATCTATTGGAATACAAGTAATGTAATGTTATATAAGTGTAAAAAAACAAGCATGTGAAGTCTTTATATAGTACCAAAACTTGGGCAAGAACATTGCGCTCCATTTAGATTTCCGCACGCACGTTCTGTAATAGTATGATGTATGTAAAATGTAAAATAATATAGTTTGGAAAATCCAAAAGTGCACGCCTCATGAGCGTTTCATTTAATTTTGATGAAATAATAAATTACCAAAGAAAATCGATTACACAAGGTATAAAATCGATATAGGCTGTATGGCACACATGCTAATGAGATATAGGTAATAATTTAAATTTGTGTTATAGGATTTGTTTTAGTCAAAATTGACATATTTCATGCTGATTCATTAGAACATGTTGAACTGATATTATATTTATTATGGTCCTAGTGTTACACTATATTCTGGCTAATAAAAACTAATGTATTCTATTGTTTGATTATCTGTTATTTGTTCTGTTGTTTTGTTCTATTCCACTCCGCTTCGTTCTATTCTATTCCATTACATTCCATTCCATGTCATTGAATTCTATTGCATTTCATCGCATTGCATTCCATTCCATTCTAATCTAATCCATTCGAATCTAATCTATTCTATCCTTCATCCATAACGTTTCAGTTGAGACTACTAGCGGATTGTCTAGACAAATGACTCTCAAATCAGAGCGTGTGCACCGTGTCGGCCCAGGCCGACGCTCTGATTTGGTACCACGCTACATGAAAAATAATTATTATTGTCGGCAGACTGCTCTCTAAATGAACAGATTTAGTAGGGAACCGACCAAATCTGTGGTCCGTAAAAGTATTGCTTCATCATCGTCTCATTAATGAGAAGCGAGCTGTTTATAAGCTGTAATTTGACTAAGAACATAGATGAAGAGGAAACACTCCATTCCTTACATTAGTTTTCTAAAGGACAATATTAATTGTATTATTTACAACAATATTAATATTATTAATTTATATTTCTGTTTTATTTGCAGAGGTGTGTAACATACCGCGTATCCCTTCTGTATATCCTGAACAGCATCGATCAGGTTTTTAAGGTTTCAATAACTTCGGCACCAGTAAAGCCGCAAGAAAATGCTGAAGTGACAGTTACTTATAAGCCTAACGTCGTAGACCTAACTTATACGGAATACTATATCATTGACGATACAGATGGAAACACCTACAGGTTAACTGTCACTGGAAAGTGTCTTGGTAAATATATTTAGAAGCATAATGCAAATTATCAAGTGGTTTACCCAAAGTTTAACTAGGTTGGAGCCTACGGCGTAAGGATCTAGGTGGCGCTGAGCTTGCTATTGCAAGCACCACTTATGTACAGACCTAAAATTGGGAAAAAATATTCTCAATATATATTGAATTAAGTGCCGCAAGTATTTTACTCGTACTTCTTTCTTTATTTTGGTACAAAACAAATAAAGAGGTTGTAAAAATAAGACTGAATTATTTGGTACTTTTCGCCTTTGGTTACTGACTGAACGTGATGCAAATATTATAAACTGCTCAAGCTCTCTTCTCTACCTTTAATTTCATTAAGGTTTTAAGCCAAGGTGTCCAAGGGAATTTCTGTCAGCTATCTGTTTCATCCTTGCACAAAGAGAACGACTCACTGGCCCATGCCGCAAAGGACAAAGTCAAATTGTAGGTTCCCTTTTTGAGCCCAATTCGACTCTCGATGTTGGGGGTTATACACCATCCACCATTACACACATAAATTGATGAATAACCATCCCGCGGTGTGATTGCTCTATGATGGATATGCGGTTGATACAGCACGTAGTGTGCAAAGCATACCTCTCCCTGGACATTAACAACTCGAGTGGGCTTGATGAAGTCCCTCCTATTGTACTGCCGGCGGGTGCTCCGTTGTCAGCACCAGTTCTAACGCGTTTTTCGGTACTCTTAATCTATAAGTGTAATCCTAAACTTATGGAAGACAACTTTGGTGCATCCGATCCATAAAAAGGCGACTGCTCAGAACCGTCCAACTACAGGCTTGTTACCATCGCCTTCTTGTTCTCCGAAATAGTTGAAATCCATTATAAACTGCCAGTTCATAAGATACCTTGAGGATCACCAATTAGCTGGTTCTAGTTCTATCCTTCTAATTTACCTGACTCATAGATGAGTGCAAGCAGTAAATTCCAAGAGAGAGACCGTAGTCGTTATTTTGGACATAGTGAAGGTCTTCGATTCGATTTTCGATTGGAAGGTGAAGGCCTTCGATTGGCTTTGACACAAAGCGCTTCTTTAAAAGCTTCCTATGGACCTTCCAAGAAATTGTGCAATTGGATCATCAGTTTTCTTGCAGATCGGAGCATCAAGGTCATAATAGGTTGTACGTACTCCGACTAAGAGTCTATTATAGCTCGAGATCCACAAGGCTGCGTGCTATCACCTACGCCGTTTCTTCTTTATATCAATTATATGTTGCTGTTACTGGTTGTAACACTGGTGAAGCTTTTACACCAGCTGTGCTAATATTTCTCGAAAACAAGTCATCGAATATCGGAACAAACTTGTGTCTGAAGTCGAGTCCTTAATAAAGGAAATCACGGATTGGGGACGAATTTAGTCCAGTTTAAACTTCAGAAGACACAGATTTGCGTGTTTACCGCTAAAAAAAATCCCTTTCTCGGTTCTCCTCAATTTTGGGGCACTCCCCATGCTGCCTCAGTCTGCATCGGAATTCTCGGCATCGACATATCGTATAACGTACAGTTCCGCGGTCACTTGGAAGGGAAGGCTAAATTGGCCTCTAAAAAGCTTGGCGTGTTCAGTAGAGCGGGGCAGTATTTTCGCCCTCATGGAGTACAGTTCTCATCTGGACCGGGTCACTCCAATGCCAGCTCCTTCCATATGACTGCATCCAGCGAAGAGTGGCTCGAATCGTCGACGAACGAGTTATTTCTATTTGTCTCGATTCACTGGCGCTGCGGTGAGATTTTGCATCCCATTGCATTTTCTATCGCATTTTCGACGTATTTTCGAGTACTTAGGTAAATTGTCCGGATTAAATCCAGCCGCCAAATTCCACCAAAGCACATCGGAACGAAACTTATGGTACCATACACCCGATTTTTCTCAAGGAGTTTTCTTCTTCGCAAGACTTCTTTGTGGAATCATCTACCACTGGCAATTTTTCGGACCAATGACCAATATGACTTAGATATCTCCAAGAAACGAGTTTATTCTTTTAAAAAGGCTGGCAACGCACCTACAATTTCCCTGGTGTTGCAGTTGTTCAAGGACAGTGGTCGCACTCACTATCAGTGGAAAGCTAGTAATATATAAAAATCTAGTATATATATTCGAAGGCTGAGCAGGCACAGACTGAACAGTCTGGCATATATTAATAGCCTAGGGCTGTCGGAACTCTAAATCAGGCACTACTAATTATTATCGAAAGTTGTAGTCTAATGTAAGTTTCGCAATCGTAGTGGAATGGATAGTCAGCAGTGATATTTGCGAATAATTTAAATATTACCCATGGTGAGCCTGACGTAGATTGAGGTTTATTAAGAGAATCACTCGTAATTTGTCTCGTGAATATTGTGTGAGGCGACATTATGGAAGACTTTATAGACCTAAAAGCAACATCAAAAATTTAACTTATCAGAATAGCCGCCTGCAAAGCGGTTCGATTATATTATACTTACAGATAATATTTTCTACCATAGAAAGGCGCATTGCTGTTGATTATGAAATCTTATTTTAATAAATAAACAATTTAAACTGGGTTGATCCCATGTGTATTATTATATGATATAAATAAAATAGTAACAGTTTTATATTAATTACTAAAGATTAACTTCTCACCAGGACCGAAAGTATCTGTAAGCAAGAAAAAACTTGTATTTAAGATCTGTAAAAATGTGTCGGAGCAAAGAAAAGAAATAATAAATATAGTCAATAAGACTGGCCTTGATACAACCTATCAATGGCTTCTCCCATATGGTGGGCACGGATTTTTTCAAGTGAGTGTTTCGTTAAAATTCAACGTTTATTTGAATAAAACTATCTAAACGTTAGTACATAGCTAATTCTAATTTAATAGATTTCAACTGGTAGCTGCGGTCTTATTCGAGCATTTGAAAACATTACAACGAGTGTTGTTTTTACTGGTACAGCTCTTGGAGTATATACGGCTGAATTGGTTTTATTAGTCTTAAATCAGGTAATTCTATTTTATTTTTGTAAAATAGTATTATAAACATTTAATTTCAACAGTTGTTAATAAACTTTTATTAAACAAATGGTTTTGATAAATCCTATTGAAGAACTACAATTCAATTAATTCAATTAAAATTCAATTTGCTAGCAGACTTGATGACTCCGACAAGCGGTTCTAAATAGTAGGTATTATAGATTGTATGGTATTATAGACATACACTTCGACAGTTAATATAGAATTCTAAAGAATATAATCTGTCGTATTGTCTGGCGTATGTGGACTATGAGGCCTTCCGTTCAGTCAAAATAGGGTTCTACAGTTCTTTCAGCGGTACTAGGTTGATAGTCGGTATATCGGTATGCTTGTATAGTACCTGATGATATGTACCCCAGTACAGAATCAGAACATGAAACGTATCCAATTGCAGAGAGGTGTAAGACGGTGACGTTATGACGGTAGAGCCATGCTGTAGCTATATTAATGATATAGTTGTAGCACGAATGGGTCGGCTCGACCGGGGAAGGACCACGCTCTCACAGAATACCAGCGTAAAATAGCAGCTTAACACTGCTGTGTTTCGTATGGTGAGTGTAGAGAACCGGAGACCGTTTTTACTGGATAAGAGGCATTCCATCTTAGTCCTCAGGGGTGACAACCCATATACATTTTGATACGTAATCGAGGATAGATGTAGATGTCTATGGGCCACAGCAACCACTTACCATCAGGTGGACTGTGTGCTCGTTTGTCAACCAAATTCTATTTTAAAAAAAATCCCCGAAATTCTTCAACTCTGCATTGGAAGGCGTTTTCAAGATATTGAACTAAAAACGATACTATATTAACATCAGAGGCGAATACATCACAAACCTTCGACTTGCCGATAATATATTCATTAAGACGGAATTCTTGAAGGACCTCAGTACTATGCTGAATGACCTCTGTAATTTTTACCAACGGGTAGATCTTAAAATGAACATGGACAATACAAAAGTCATGTCTAACGTCAATGTTATATCTATACCGGGAGTTGTTGGGAACATTACGCCTGAAGTTGCTTATGAGTAGGTATGTGCAAATGGGACAAAATTTCCTATTAGAAAAACCAACTTCAACCAACAGATCAGCTGAGCTGCGTTCGGGAAAGATATTCCTCAGAATCGTAAAACGAAACTGTACAACCAGTGCGTTTTGCTAGTGATGACTTACGAAACCGATACGTTATACTTCACTGCTGGTGGTACAATGGGTCAAAGTCACTCAGCATGCGATGGAAATGATTATACTCGGAATTTCACTGCGTGATAAAATTCATAACGAGGAGATTTGCAGATTAACAAGAGTAACTAACATACGCCAGCGCATTAGTAAGCTGAAGTGGCAATGAGGCGGCCATATACCACCAAGAATCGACAACCGATGCGGAAGAAAGGTTCTTGATACGCAGCCTCGTAGACTAGCGCAGTGTTAGATGAACCCCTCACTAGATGTAGCGACGACCTGATGAAACATGCAGGTAATCGGTGGATGCAGGTAACTCAGGACCATACTTTCTGGCAATCTATGAAGAAGGCCTGTATTCAGTAGTGCATTTGTGTGTTATAGTGATAGTGAAATAAATGCAAATATTTAAAAAAAAACTCTTATTTTATATTATTAAGAAATATTCAACATAACGTAACGTCAAATAGTAACGAAACAATTACTATTAAAAATTTTACAATTTCAGATGTGTGTGTTGTGTACTCATATTTTTTTTTATAGGAGAGGGGGCAAACGAGCATGCGGCTCACCTGATGGTGACTACCGCCGCCCATGAACAACTGCAACACCAGGGGAACCAGGGGAATTGCAGATGCGTTGCCGGCCTTTAAATATATTTTTCCATCTTGAAAAATGCTTTGCATATAGCTTGTGATTTATATAAATACCAACGTACTTACATATTTTTATTCATCATCATCATCATTACAGCCCTTCACAAGTCCACTGCTGAACATAGGCCTCCCTCAAGGAATGCCACAAAGGGAAACTGAGGCAGAGGATGGGCAGCAGCATCTTTCTGATAACAGCAAAACTACAATAAAAAACTGCGGTTGCCAACCCGCTCGCCAAGCATGGCAACTATGGCAATATACCCCCCATGATATTCTTTATTATAATGAAATTATTATAATAGATCAGCCTGACTGGGCCATGGTCACCTAGGGCAAAAACTGGCAATAGAAATAAGGTTCGCGTAAAGAATCGCGAAGTCATTTTATACATGTTTTTATTTTGTGGTTACAAACACATCAGCAAAGCGTAGTAACAATGTACAATAACAATATTGTACCCTCTTAGTGAGGGTAGGCATGTAAGAGCGTAGAACCGACAACCATTGGAATGGAAAAATTCTCAACTAGAAGTCGCGTACCGGCAAACAGATGATCACCCATAAGACAAACGATTTTTGAGACACACGGGTGTAGATGGACGCTGGAGACTCAAGACCGTGCTTTGTCTCAGTCCCTAAGAGGAGCCTTTGTTAATCACTGGATTAACTATTGATGATAAGGAATATTTTTTTAGCAATTACTGTTTGATCAACAATACCAACAATACGATTGGTATTGGTATTTGGTATTGTTGATCGAAGCAATTACTATAATGGAGTGAAAGGATAATGTTGAAAATGTAATAAATAAATACAGAAACATTAATTACTTTCCTCTTCATTTTCTTCACCAGTCGGTAAAGTTCCACTGCTGGATGTAGGCCCTCCGTTAGAAGAAGTATATATATATATATAATAAGTAATAATAATAATATGTACGCTAGGTAATTTTTACCAACTTTAAAGTAGTATTTTAAGAGGCAGTAGTAAAAGAAGAGATGCATGGTGGAATGATGAAGTGAAAGAAGCTGTAAAGAAGAAGAAGAAAGCATGGTTAGACTACTTGGCCTCTAGTAATGATAAGGATATGAGAGAGAAGATGAAAGAAAGATATAGGCTGCAGAAAGTTCACACGAAAGCACTGATTGAGGAAGTGCGTGAAAGGTGTAGAATGGAAGCGGACGAAAGGTTGTCGCACAACTTCAAGGAGAACTCCAAACTCTTCTGGAAAGAGGTTGGAAGGACCCGAAGTGGTGCGACGGCCTTAAGAATGAACAAAGTGCTTTCGAGAACTAATGACGTCCTCTCAGAAAAATCGGACGTCATGCAGCGATGGAGCGAATTTTATAGAGAAATGTATGCGTGTGATGATCTTAGTGAGGGATCCGGGGATGACGCCGTGACTGGTACGCCAGACCCGGACCTCGATGACACTGAGGTCATCAGGATGAAAGAGATTGAACGTGCGATTCGAAGTTTGAAATGTGGTAAGGCTGCGGGACTAGACAGAGTTACTGCTGAAATGGTCAAGTATGGTGGGCCTCGCGTCTGGGACAGCTTTCATCTGCTGTGCAATTTGTGCTGGCGGACGGGGGATGTCCCGGATGATTGGCGATCCGCAGTCATTGTGCCTTTATATAAAGGTAAAGGTTCACATTTTGACTGCGGGTGCTATCGGGCGATCAGCTTGACCAGTTTAGCAAGTAAAGTTTACTCGAAGGTTTTGACACGTAGGATGCAAGAGAAATCGGAAAGATTTCTATGGGAGGCACAATGCGGATTTAGACCTGGAAGAGGATGCACGGATCAAATGTTTTCTCTCCGCATGATCACGGAGAAGCTTCTGGCTGCTAACCAGAAGATTTTCTGTGCTTTTGTGGATCTTGAGAAAGCATTTGATAAGGTTGTAAGGAAGAAAATGTGGGAACTGTTGCCGGGGTATGGTGTGGATGGTCGATTGCTAAGGGCTGTGCAGTCTCTTTACTGTGACTGTAAAGCTTGTGTGCGGGTAGGGCATGACCTGTCACCCATGTTTAACGTCCAAACGGGCGTAAAGCAGGGTTGTGTCATGTCTTCCTGGCTGTTCATACTGTATCTCGACAGCTGTTTACAGAAGCTGAAAGATAGTTGTTTGGGTGTGAAATTGGGTGACATTAAAGTAAATTGTCAGCTGTATGCTGATGATGCAGTGCTTATTGCACCATCAGAGGCAGAACTGCAGGCATTAGTCACGTGTATGAAAGAGGAATGTGAAATTAAAGGTCTCCGTTTGAATGCTAATAAAACTAAGGTTCTGGTGTTTGAAAGGGACTAAGAGAGAACGAAGTGTGAAATATGGGTAAATCAGGAATGTCTAGAACAGGTAAATGAAATTGTATACTTGGGGAGTGCTTTTAGCCGGGATGGAAGATGTGATTTAGATGTGGACAGGCGTGTCGCTGCCGGGAACAAAGTCAATGGTGCCCTGACTGCGTTAGTCAAAAGGCAAGGCGTAGCGAAGAGTGCACGCCTTGCAATACATAACGCAGTGTTGGTACCGACTTTGTTATATGGCAGCGAAACCTGGGTATGCCAGAAGAAGCATAAAAGTAAGTTGAATGCAGTGGAGATGCGATCTCTTCGTAAAATGTGCGGCGTTACCATGGCCGACCGAAAGCGAAACGAAGAGATTCGCAATATGGCAGGTTTGAAAGATGACCTTATCACAAAAATTGATAAGGGCGTGCTTCGGTGGTTTGGGCACGTTGAGCGAATGAGTGAAGACCGAATGGTGAAGAAAATATATAGCGCGAAAGTTAATATTAAAAGGTGTCGAGGTAGACCGAGACTAACTTTCGAAGACCATGTGAGCAAATTGCTCGAAGAGGGTAGGGTCAAAAGTACTTGGATACCTAGACGTGCATGCATGAAGAAGATAATGAATCTGAAAGAAGCGAAAGAGGTTTGTAAGGATCGTGACACTTGGCGATCTGTTCTCTCTGGCTACCCCGTCAGGGATTGTGCGTGAAGATAAGTAAGTAAGTAAAGTAGTATTTTCCTTAATCGCCACGCTTGCACGCAGTCACGAGAAGTGACGATCACAGTACCAGATGTCTCGCTGTCGTGACTTGCTGAAAGCTGCTCCACATCGCCGATCTAAGTATTTTACGTCTAAAAAGTTGAAGCTGAAAATGTAAACAGAAATAATTTATTTTAGGAACCTATATTTGTAAACGTGATAGCTACAGTAAGCTTACCCGGCAACGACAAGTACAACGTCGACGATCATGTGTTCGAGAAACATTTGAAACGCAAAAGTCGTTTTGCTCACTTGATGGAGAATAGCCTAAACCGTTTGAGTTACATACCCTCAGCATCCGTTTTCGAGAGATACCTCGACTTCGGGATGGGAAGTGTCACCGATATCAGCATGAATATATCGCAGACTATATGTGTCACTAATCATGAACAAGTGGAAGGGTACATACAGTGGATTCCAGGTTTGTTTTTTAATCTCGGCCGAGTATATTACCGTTACCGTTACAGCCTATCAAAAGTCCACTGCTGAACATAAATGCCCTCATAGGACTGAAATAAATTTTCATAGTTGCCGCGTTTGGTGGGCCGGTTGGCAACCGCAGTTTTTTATAATTTTAAGTTGTTATCAGGAAGATGCTGCTGCCCATCACCTGTTTCATTTTCCCTCCGTCGCCACTTAAAGCCGCGTATCGATTACGCGCTCCAAGAGGTCGAACATTGGCGCGCGCTCCAGCCGCGCGAAATGGATACCGCCTTGGAGCGCGCGCCAAATTGTTCGTTGGAGCGCTCGAACGTAGAGCGGGCTGCTCCATCTGGTGTAGATGTTAGACCGCGCATCAAAGTAGTTTAAGTTTTGGCGCGCGCGCCAGTTGGGACATTTGTTTTCATTATTTGTGTGTTCGTTGCGTTCCGAGCAATAGACATGTTGAACGGTCAAACATTGGAGCGACTGAGGCGCGCGCCAGGAGCGCGTAATCGATATGTCGACTACGCGCTCCTTTGTCGCACGGATGGGCCGGCTTGTCGCACGGATGGGCCGGCTCGAACCGGGGTGGTACCACGACCTCACAGAAAACCAGCGTGAAGTAGAGGTTTACCTCTGCGTTTCGCTTGGTGAGTGCAGGTGGCCGGAGGCCCTTTTTACTGGAAATGAGGCATTCCATCTTAGTCCTTACGGGTGACAACGCATCTACATATTGATTTGTAATAGAGGATAGATGTAGATATCTATGGGCCACAGCAACCACTTACCATCAGGTGGACTGTGTGCTCGTTTGTCACCCTTATCCTATAAAAAAAAATGCGGCTTTAGACACCCACGGTTCGATATGGAATAGTGGATATCCTTACACCGCCACTACACGGTGTACGGTACTTATTTGTAGTACCTGTTATTTTTAAAATAAGAAGAGCTTAGAAAGTTATTAAAGCCACTTCAATAATTTTGAATTTATGGCTATACATAGAATTAAGATAATTAATTCTATGTATAGCCATGTGCGATCAAAGATTTATTTTATTCTAGTTGTCGCTGTTTCCATCGTCATCATCAGCTCCTTAACAGTACTTTGCGTGCTTGTACGTAGACTCACTCAACCATAGTAAAACGGATTTGTTTTAATTGTCACGCTTAATAGACAAATTGTTGATGGCGAGCGTTCCAAAAATATTAATAGTATAGTTGTAGCACGAATGGGCTGGCTCGACCGGGAAAGGACCACACTCTCACAGAATACCAGAGTAAAATAGCAGCTTAATGCTGTTGTGCTTCGTATGGTGACTGTAGAGAACCGGAGACCTTTTTTAACGGAAACGAGGCATTCCATCTTAGTCCTCATGGGTGACAAAGCATCTGCATCTTGATTCGTAATCGAGGATAGATGTAGATATCTATGGGTCACAGCAACCACTTACCATCAGGTGTACTGTGTGCTCATTTGTCACCCTTATTCTATTAAAAAAAAACTCGTAACGTTGTTAATCTGGGCATTTTAGGTGTGACGTATTTAAGATATTTATACCGATATCTGCAACGACCGCAGAAGGCCACGGGATATTTTTGAAATTTATCTTAGTTAACTCTTTTGACAATAATAATAATGTCCTCCAGACCGAATTTCGGTCGAGGTGCCTTGTTTCAATGGAAACTTGCCGTGCACCTGTCTTTTGATTTTCTTACACCACCATGTGATACGTCATGTTAAAAACAGTGTATTATTACCTTTTACGTTTTTCTATCCTCAGATCCTGATAACATTTTCTTAGTAGACCCAATTGATGCGGTGGTGCCATCTAACGAATCAAGATTATTTACAATACGGTTCAGGTAATCATATTATGAACGACTTACAACATTATTAGACAAAATGCCTAATACCTACATATTATCGTATCACAGGGGGCATCCATTAATTACGTGAGGCGATTTTGGCGATTTTTACCCCCTTGGTGAGATGTCGTGAGATTTTGCTGATACTCCTCCCCCTACGCCAATCTCACGTCAGATTTTCCAGTTCCAAGATGCGTATTTTTTTAAAATTGCTTAATTCAGAGCTATTAGCATGTGGCGGCTAAACAATCGAGGGGCTACGGTGCTACTTTGTGGCGTTCGCATACATTAAGCCGCGATAAATATGTTAGCCATATTTTAGTGGAGAACCAGTTTTTAATTAATTTAACCCATTTTCTCGCAATTTTAGATTGTTTCTTGCTCCCCCACGTGAGATTAGGCAAGGTTCTGGTTGACAACCCCCCCCCCCCTCTCAATGCCTCACATAATTAATAAACGTCTCCACACACGGAATTAACAGCCGCCTGGCATACTGGTCACAATAAGAGAATACAGTAGAATCGAGAGTCTGCGAATTATTGTGATTGTCTTTATTCTACTGACACTCCATTAAAAATCAATCTTGGATTGGTGTTAATATAGCACTACCTACGGATAGTTTCGATTACGGTTATATATGTGGGCAATACAGTATTTTATACTTAACGGGGTACACATCATAGTTGCTTGGCTAGTAGTTGACGTATGACCACATGTATCCCCTCTCCACGTGTTCTCTCCTCCAAACGGACTCCCGCCTTGTTGTGGCTCGTGGTGCAGGACCTTAGGGGCCGCTTGGTGAGCCCACTTGGGATTCGTGTTGGTGGGTGTGAAAATTAGTCGACGGCGAAAATATACCGGATCCGCTGTTGGGGCATTTTCTTGTTTCCGGATGCACCCTTGGCCTGACCTGGTCTCATGACCTCTGCTTAATGGATTTGGGAAGTCCGTGGTGTAGGTGCGACCATGGATGTGAGCAAAGGCATTCCCGTGGCCCTGGTGACACAACATGAGTTTTAGTCGGTGCGAGCCCAGAGTATTTCTACATGAAAAAAAAATGATTTAATATAGCATTTCAAATATAGGGTTATTTTGCATAACCTGTCAAATTTGCAGAGAAGGTTCAGAATAAGTAATATAGGCAAATGGTGAAGAAAAAAATAATAAAAAATAACAAACATTCGGTCCTATTTATCTTTTAAATCCAGAATGCGTGGTAATGAATTATTGAAACTGATTGTCATTAATAAAAATCTAACGCCTACTGTTTTACTACGCACGCACACATTCGTAAGGGTTGATCAGTCGGAAGCTTAAATCGGTCAGTCGGAAATTAAAGTATTTGCAAGCTTAAATCTAAGACGCACTACATGGAATGTAAGGTAAATTATTTTGTGATGCTGGATAATTATTCCTGTAATCAAAAACATTGATTATTCGATCATACTTTATAGAAACTATACTAAACTAACGACTTTTATTAAAATCTGTAGACCAAATTAGATATTTCTGATTTTATTTTCGATTTTCCCTTAGCTAGGCCTTGTTACCCGCAGGTTTTTTTATTATTTTATAGGAGAGGGGGCAAAACGAGTATGCGGCTCACCTGATGGTAAGTGACTACCGCCGCCCTTAAACAACAGCAACACCAGGGGAACCAGGGGAATTGCAGATGCATTGCCGGCCTTTTAAAAAGGGGTAAGCTCTTTTCTTGAAGGTCCCTCAGTCGTATCGGTCCGGAAAAATCGCTGGTGGTAATCGATTCCACAGGGAAGTTGTGCGAGGAAGAAAACATCTTCCAAATCATACAGTGGTGGACCACCAATAATCCAGATGGTGTGGATGGTATCGGGAGTTCTGCCGCGATGTGCGTTTCTAAAATTTGGTGGCTGGGATTAATCCGAACAGTTCCTCAGAGTACTCCCCGTGGTAAATGCGAAAGAAAATGCAAAGGGCTGCAACATCTTTTCGCAGCGCCAATGAATCGAGCCGATCGGAAAAGACTCGGTCGTCGACAATTCGAGCCGCTCTGCGCGGTCAAGTGGAAGGAGCTGGCACTGGGGAGCCCCAGCCCAGAGATGGGAACAGTATTCCATGTGAGGTCGAACCTGCGTCTTGTAAAGTTGCAGGCGTTGTGCCGGCATGAAATACTCTCTTGCTCTGCTGAGCACGCCAAGCTTTTTAGAGGCTAATTTAGCCTTCTCTTCCAAATGACCACGAAACTGCACGTCACTCGATATGCCGACGACGAGGATTCCGGTACTGATGAGGCAATAAGGGGAGTGCCTTGAAACTGAAGAGATACGACAAAGGGGTTCTTTTTAGCGGTAAACGTGCACTTGCGTCTTCTGAGGATTAAACTGTACTAGATTTAGACGCCCCCAATCCGAGACTTTGTTTAGAAAAGACGAATACACAAGTGTATTCCGGTACTCGGCGAAGTTTTCCCGAGAAATAGTGGCTCAGCCTGTGAATAGAGCATCACTAGTGCTGTGATCCGCATAGCAATGAATGTTACCGGTTTGCAACATATCATTGATATGCAGAAGAAACAGCGTTGGTGATAGCACGCAGCCTTGTTGAACACCAGCGTTAATAGGCTTGTAGTCGGAGCATGCACCGTCTACAACGACCTTGATGCTCCGATCTGCAAGAAAGCTGGTGATCCAATTGCACAATTTCTCGGGAAGTGCATAGGAAGGGAGCTTCGAAAGAAGCGCTTTGTGTCAAACCCGATCGAAGGCCTTCGCAATGTAGAGTCCAAGCTAACGGCCAATGCCTCTCCCTTGAACTCTACTGCCTCCGCCCATCTATGAGTCACGTAGACTAGAAGATCACCAGCTGATCGACCCTGATGAAAACCGTATTGGCGGTCAATAATCAGCTGGTAATCCTCAAGGTATCACATGAGCTGGCAGTTTATAATGGATTCCATTATTTTGGAGAACAAGGAGGTGATGGCGATAGCGATCGGGTGGACAAAAGCTGTCTTCCATGATTTCGGGACTACGGCTAGGCAGTAGGAGTACCGGAAAAGACGCGTTAGAACCGGTGCCAACTCCGGAGCACACGTCCTCAGCACATTTGGGGGGATCCCGTCAGGCCCACTCGACTTGTGGATGTCCAGGGAGAGGAGTGCTTTGCGAACCGAGTGCTGTGAGAACCGCACATCCGGCATGGAGCACTCACACCGCGGGATGGTTGGCGGTGTGTTCCCCCCGTCATCAAGAGTGGAGATGGACGCAAAAAGGGAGCAGGTACCTTACTTTTTCCTGAACTTAAAAAAATCCACTCAGTAACGGGAGGAGGCATATAATCAGCAGTGGGAAGTAAACTAACTGTTACTTTCATACATTTTTAGACCGAAAATTGAAAACGAAGCATATGGATACTTACTTTGCGGCGACTACCAGCATAAAATCTACAACGAAGAGAAGACAGACGAAGTAAAATTTAAACACACCTGGTTCCGCATACCTTGCATTGGCAATACTTGGTCTCCATGTACAGAATGGCGAAGTGCGTGGGATTGTCCTATTGAGGTATGCATATCTTTATACATTATAAAACGAAAAAGTCCCCAAATAAAAAGTTAAACCATATTAAATAATCTTTGCTAAAAACTAGTATACAATATATATATCTATCTACTTTTCAATCGTGTGGGAGCATAAATGCAATTTCACAAATTCGCTTTCTAGCTAGTTCAGAAGTGAGTTGTCAACAGCATCTACCGTAATTCAGTGTACTCGTAGTTATAAAGAAACCATTCTTCGTGAAGGCTCACCATATACAGGATATTGATTCCTTATATTTAAGCAAATACTACACATTAAATAAAACTAATTTTATTGATTCTATCACGTTTAATTTGCCGTTACCATGTGAAGCATTAGAAGTTTCAAAAACAAATAACCCTACAAAAAGTATAATCATTCATCATCATTACAGCCCTTCACAAGTCCACTGCTGAACATAGGCCTCCCCCAAAGAATGCCACAAAGCACGGTCCTGAGCCACCTGCATCCATCGACTTCCTGCATATCTTACCAGGTCGTCACTCCATCTAGTGGGGGGACGCCCTACACTTCGCCTGCCGGTACGAGGCTGCCACTCGAGAACCTTTCTTCCCCATCGGTTGTCGGTTCTTCGAGCTATATGGCCGGCCCATTGCCACTTCAGCTTACTAATCCGTTGGGCTATGTCGGTCACTCTGGTTCTACTGCGGATATCCTCATTTCTGAGTTTATCACGCAGAGAAACTCCGAGCATAGCCCTCTCCATAGCTCGCTGAGCGACCTTTAGCTTCCTCATCCGGCCAGCAGTGAAGGACCACGTCTCAGTTCCGTATGTCATCACTGGCAACACGCACTGGATGTACAGTCTCGTTTTCAAGTTTTGAGGTATACCTGACGAGAAGATGTGCCGTAATTTCCCGAACGCTGCCCAACCGAGTTGAATCCGTCGATTGACCTCTCGGTCGAAGTTGGACTTACCTAGTCGGACTATTTGTCCCAGGTAAACATACTCGTCAACAACTTCGAGCTTAGTGTTCCCAACAACTACCGGCATAGGTGTGACATGGACATTAAACATGATCTTTGTTTTGTCCATGTTCATCTTAAGACCTATCCGTTGGGAAACACTATTGAGGTCATTGAGCATAGTGCTTAGGTCCTCCAGCGATTCTGCCATAAGGACTATATCGTCGGCAAATCGAAGGTGAGTGATGTACTACAAAAGTATAAAAAGTATAAAATTATGTGTTATTCAAGAGACCGTTGTGGGAGTGAGTTAAAGTAATTTAATTAATTTTGTTTTGTTTTAGGTCACTTTGCCACCAACTGTACCGGCAAGAACCACCTTTACAAATTTTATGCTTTCGAACAAGCTCGAAATACCTATGTATTTCAAGTTTCAAGCACCGTTTAAAACGTAAGATTATTGTAAAATTATTTATAAGGGTGCGTACAGATCAAGTAACATGTTGTATAACTTTTGTTTTATAACACGTTTTTCAACATTGCAACATATAACAATACTGTACACATTAGAATAACAATGCAATATAACAATGTTATATGACATTGTCGTATTACTTTGTAGTTTGTCGTTCTGCCGTTCGAGTTATATAACATTTGTGTTACACGTTTTATAACATTCAGCCTCCACATTATAGGGGCTACACACGATAACTTTTAACTGTCAGTTTTGACTAACCAGTTCTAAATGACAGTGAAAACTGACGTCCTTTGCACCCACACACGTTCAGTTTTAACTGTTCTCTTTGACCACAAACAACATTACCATCTCAAGATGTCATCAGCCGACGACGACGCTTTAGCCGTGCTTGGTTTATTATTAATTTTAAAAAATAAAAATAAAAAAAATATACGCAAACAGTGGTGTAAAGAGTAGTTAAAAAAAAGGAAAATTTATTCCCATGTTAATTTATTAACCGAACTAAAAATTGTTTCGAAGGTATTGGCACAACTATCTCAGAATGAGTGAAGAAATTTACCTCAATCTCGTGATCGCAACACGACTGAAGAAACACCGCCTACACACGCACAGTTTTAACTGATCAGTTCCGTCATTTCAGTTAAAAAATATGTATCAACAATATATCATCAGTTTTAACTGATAATAAAAAAACTGACAGTTTTCATCGTACACACACTCAGTTTTCACTGTCAGTTAAAAGTGATCGTGTGTAGCCCCTATTACTGATGTATGTTGTATAACAATGTTTTATAACATGTTATGTTATATAATGTGTACGCATCGTAAGAAATACTTTCATTTTATGGATGATTGATTTTGTTATAGGAACTTTGTACTCATGCCAATGTGCGGTATCGTACAAGGGCGTGGATGGCAAATAATATCGGTGGCACTGGAGCCAAATTCCTTTGGAGAATATTTCGAATCATGGGACCTAATTATAAATAGAGCTGATAAGGTATGCATTACATAAAACAATATTTTAATGTACAGCCCAATTAGCACACAAGTGGTATAACAAAGCGCTACAGTAGCCGCTTAACAGGTATATGTAATGGCTTTTATCTTCATATGTAAGTGCTACAGTAGCGATACAGAATTCCTCAATCGCTTCTATACCACCGAATATGGCCCACTTTATACGGGCTTCAATGCTACAGTAGCGATACGATAGCGGCATGGTGAGTTTGTAAAGCGATACAAAGGTGCGTAAAATGTGATTTTTGGAGCTAAAAGATATACAAGAAGTTCTTGTGCCACCTTTCTAGAATTTGCACAAGATTGCGACGTGACCGTAACTTGTAAGTAAATCTTAAAGTATATTTAATGTATTTTTTACATAATATACCGATATAAGAATTATAGTGACAGAACATAAATGACAAATATTATTTTAAATTGATCGTGATGTGTTATGGTGGTAAATATTTAAAGCAAGTTGATGAGTGTAAAGTAAGATAATGATTTAATTTCATTTGTTTACGTAGAATATTAGTGCGAGCATCAGTTTTCTGTCAAAATATGTATTAATTAGGTTAAATCTTTCATGCGCACGCGAACACCTATGAAATTTGCTATAATTTATCTCACTAAAGTGCATAAAAATTTTAGAATTTATTTAATAGTTTCTTTTCGATAGAGTTATTGGAACTTGTGGTCAATTAATTAGGCCATAAAATGCAAACGGGTTTATTTATTGTAGAAAGTATGTTCTTTAACATAAGAAAAGTGATTTTTTAGTGACATACATAATTAATCAAATACTGCCATGTAATGGCGACTTTTTACAAAAGACTACTACTAGTGACGGCTACTATATCCATTATAACGGTGTTAGAAGTAATATGGCGCTAGTGATTATTAATTTAGAACTTTAAGATCTACAATTGCTGAACTATGGAATATTTTTACTAATTTTGAGGTATACAAGCACTTTATAAACCTTTTCACTATTTAAAATTTTAGGATTTGTTTGAAGTTTGAATTAATTTTATTAACACACGCATGACAAAATAATTAATAATACGTGAAATTATTGAAGGTTTTGTACAGACTTTACTGTATTTTTTTATAGGATAAGGGTGACAAACGAGCACACAGTCCACCTGATGGTAAGTGGTTGCTGCGGCCCATAGACATCTACATCTATCCTCTATTACAAATCAAAATGTAGATGCGTTGTGACACGTGAGGACTAAGATGGAATGCCTCATTTCCAGTAAAAAGGGCCTCCGGCCACCTGCACTCACCAAACGAAACGCAGAAGTAAACCTCTACTTCACGCTGGTTTTCTTTGAGGTCGTGGTACCACCCCGGTTCGAACCGGCCGCGTGGCTCTACCACTGTTAAAAAACTACTACTGTATTAAGTACTACTGTATTAACTACTTCTGTATTAAGGGTAATACATAATATTAGATACATAATAATAGATAGAATACATAATAATGGATTAAAAACTCTTATATCCGTATAGAATATCTTTAGCATGCCTAACGCAGACAATGACTATATTTACACGTTATAGTTCACAAATATATAGCTTTTAGTGCTTCTGCCGAGCAATAATTCTTTAATACGATAATAGTGGTTTTTAAGATTCTCATAGATCTATTGTAAAGTTGAAGACTACGTGAAACTACTTAGTATTATCTTGGGTTCTATATGTTATATTTATAACTCAATTTTTTTTCTTCGTACGCTTCTATCTTCGTTATTCCTGTTTTTTAGGTCTCATAGTGTTATTAAGTATATTTATAACTTAAATTTATATCCAACGTATGTACAAAGGCTCTACAAACCGCTTTTTTATCTCCAAAGTCATTATCGTCACTGCAAAACAGCTACTTTATTACTTTGCTTTTAAAAAGATATAAGAATCTGAATATATGTTAAGAAACATACAAACCTCCTTAAACAGCTGTTATACAGCAAGAGAGCGATACAGTGTCTGCATATATTGCTTGTGTGCTACTTGGGAGGTCGCTCGTGACCATGCGATTTTATAGCAGTGATTTCCACTAATCGTCATCATTTGTGTAAACATCAATTTGTTAGATTTTGATATTTTTTTAAAACTTTACCACTTTAGGATTTTCTCCTGTATAGTGGAGGCAGTTTACATACATGAATTTCAAAAGGACAAACATCCAGACCCGAAACAATTATTTGTAGGCCATACAAATACTAGTTTAATGCGGGATTCGAACCCGGAGGCCTTAGCGCAGGTACTCATTGCCAAGCTACTGCGCCACGGCGCCATCTTCATTATTATTAGGAAGTGACGGTTAACTCGCAATAAAATTCCTTATTCAAATTCTAAAGACTGGTGACAGAAAACAGCACAACCAGTATAAGTTCAACTACCTCGTTTATCTAGTGCTTTATTTAATAAGCACTAGATAAACGAGGCAGTTGAACCTAATGGATTTTCTGTTCAGAAATTACCAGTATTAGCCCGAAGCCAAGAAGTTGGCCATGTTTTGGACCGTGACCGTATTACCTACGTAAAGCCATTGGGTCCTGGTATTTCTCCAGATTGTCCGATTACCGTCTTAATAGACTATGAGAATGAAAGAATAGAAAGTGCATATGTGCTTGCGTTCACATTATACGAGTATAATACTGTCCTACGCGGATGGCTAGTCTCCAATTAAAGTTGGTAAAGATTACCTTGTGTACATCCGCTCGATAAAATAAAATAATGTGTCCTACCTAGTTTGAAAAGCACCTCCCGCCCTCCCTCAATTGCGTGCACTATCCCCGTCACCAAGAATCCCAGCACCACTACTCACAACAGCACTACACTAGGAAAGACACATCACTGACGACAATACGACAAGTGTTTCGTCTCTACACGAGGCAGATGTAGACTCTGCGGTGGCTGACCGCTAAGCTTAGCGGTTAGCTACCGCAGAATCTACATCACTCTTCAAACTAGATAAGACTCATCATTTTATTTTATCGAGCGGATGTACGCAAGGTAATTTTTACCAACTTTAGTATAATGGATTTCTGCAAATTAACGCATGATTCTATTAATTGGCTAGTCTCCTTTGGTACTGGTTGCTGTAACTGAAATTCGGTCTTGAGGACAATAACCGGAGCAAGGGTCTCTACTGGTTGCTTACCAGACCTCCAGTTTAGAGTAAAGACAACGGGCAACTCTATTAAAAATATCAGGAGCACTCGAATTAAAAGGGCTGAGGGTGTTAAAGATATTCCTAAACATTACCCGTGTCGCTTTAACTATTTTAATTTGTCTGCGACATTTTTATCAAGAATATTCAATGCAAATTTGGAATGACTTAATCAGTAAAATTTCCATTAACTGTGAAGACCCGAGTCGTCTTATGCGGTAATGCTGAAGTGAGTCAAATTGAAGTGATGTCCCAAGGATACAACCCAGCTGTCCATGCTATGTATGAGTTCCCGCCTACAATCACCGGATGTACCAACTATTGCACTGCCTACATCCATAATCTGACGCGAATGGAAATACAGTAAGTAAACTTATTTCTTTGTTACGGTATTTTAAGTTTGTGTACAGCAAAGGGCCTCTCAGGGTTGACATACGTCGCATTCATAATATCCTAAAAAGATAATGTCTATGTATAAATATTTCACTTTCTCGTGGACGGTGTGATATTTCGTTCAAGCACTATCAAATTATATTCCATTATCAAATTATAATCTAAAATAGAACAACAATATTATTATTGAAAGAAAGACTTGTTTCGATTTTTGCCGAATTTCTATCTTTTTTTTATAGGATAGGGTGACAAATGAGCACACAGTCCACCTGATGGTAAGTGGTTGCTGTGGCCCATAGACATCTACATTTATCCTCGTTTGCGAATCAAACTGCAGATGCGTTGTCACCCGTGAGGACTAAGATGGAATGCCTCTTTTCCAGTAAAAAGGGTCTCCGGTTCTCTGCACTCACCATACGAAACACAGCAGTGTTAAGCTGCTATTTGACGCTGGTATTCTGTGAGAGCGTGCTCCTTCCCCGGTCGAGCCGACCCATTCGTGCTACAACTACACTACTAATATAGCTGCAGCATGGCTCTACCACGTACTAATCTAAATCTAAAATATCTAGATTGTAGATTCCCGTGCAGCACCGATAGCAGTAGACATCGATCTTTTTAAGTGTAAGATATAATGAGCCTAAACTAAACTTTTACGTGGTGGAACCATACTGCATCTGTTATACAGTGTATAATCCCTTTCCCCCTTTATGTGGCAACTATTTTTTTCTTGAGATCAAAAAAAAATCATATCTCTCAAAGTTTTGGTCTGACTGAGATAAAAATATGCTCATTTGGAGAGCAACAATATTGTCTATCGTTTACATTACGAACAAATGGGTTCACATACTCGTGACTTTAAAAAAATATTTTAGTCCAAAAAAATAAAAAAATTATGCAATCGGCAAATTATTGTAAATTACTGCAAAGACAACCCCGATTACCCTTTTTATTTTTTTACTAGATGGACAGATTTTGAGCAAGTAACAATAAACATTAAGTTTACAGCTGTATATCTATTAATTTAAGAATTATTGTTGTTTGAACATAGCGAATGCGCAAGAACTAAAGGCCGTTGTCGAAACCTTAAACAGGAAAACATTAAAATCACTTAACGTTCTTATTACTTTTTATTTAATTGTTGAAATATCTAAAGACGTTGCTTAAAGTGGCCACCTCCAGCTTGTAGGCAAGCTAACCTGAGTTGTTGAGCGCCTAATCATTTGTATATCAGGTCGCATTTCTTCGGCGACTGACATTATTTTCGTTATGAGTTCTTCCCTAGTGTTTGGAACTGTGGTGTACACCTTTTGCTTCATATGACCCTACAAAAAATAATCCAAGGGTGTCAAAACGGGTCAGCGAGGTGGCCACGCTACTAAACCACCACGACCGATCCACGGCGAATGGTTGTAATTTAAATACTCTCTCACTGCCTTTTTATAATTTTAAATTAATATTTATAAAAAAATGTAAAAAATATATTCTAAATGTTATAAGAAAGATGAAGCAATAGCAAAAATAGTGGAATAGATCGAATGTCCACGGTCATCATCATCCTGAATACAGCCCTTCACAAGTCCACTGCTGAACATAGGCCTCCCCCAAGGAATGCGACAAAGGTCCCGACACGGTCCCGAGCTACATGCATCCATTGTCTTCCTACTTGTTTTAACAGGTCGTCCCTCCATCTAGTGGCGGGACGCCCTACACTTCACCTGCCGTGGTGGTTCGTGGTAAAGCACTGTCTTTTAAAGATGAGAAGTCAACACGATTCGCGAATAGTTGCGCAGCTATTTCGTGTTTTGTGGTGATTTATCTTCATCACTATTGGCATTTTTACAGCATGAGGGTTCTAAACACCGTGGATTGGCTCGGGGCAGACAACAGTGGAAGTATTGTACTGCCACCCAAAGAAATATTGCGATATCACTGGTGGTTTTTTCCTGAGGAAGCAGGCAAAGTCTATAGCACTACTATATGTTGCTCATGCATCTGTCTCATAAATGGCAGGTATAAACTTTTGTTCATTACCTATTACACATATATAAGTAAGACATTTTATGACATTAAACTCCTTTAATAGTTTTATATACATACTACGCACCTATTATTTATTATTAGTATTACTATAATAGCCAAAAAATCAATGGCTTTTTCATTTTCTTTTATATAAAAAGTGTCAAGATAAAAAATGAGGTTTCCTTTATTCTAAGTGCTATATTTTTTGTTACTCCGTAATTATGAACATGATCCTTTTTCTAGATCGTTTATATTTTTATGTTTTAGGCCAATCGGTGAGCCAACAGAAGTATTTATTAATATTTCTGGATTTTCGGAACTGCCAGATTTAAGGGTTGGTATATCCTTTATCATTTTTTGACTACTTTGTAGAACATTTTGTGATTACAAAGCAAATGGAAAGAAACTTTTGAATTTTTGGTCATTTGACTATCGCATATAGTAACCATAAATAGGTATAATAGAGGCGATGCAAGAATATCTACTACTCCATATCATCCTGTGGGTGTCGTAAGAGGTGACAGAGGGAAACATAATATCAGGTGATGAACAGCAGCGTCTTCCTAATAACGACTAAAAATAAAAAAAACTGCGGTTGTCAACCCGCCTGCCACCGCGTGGTAACTATGACAAATATTCCCCCTATTAGGCAATGTATAGAGGATGCCTATGTTCAGCAGTGGACTTTAATAGGCTGTAACGGTTAAGGTAAAATAATTAATAGAATCAGTCGTTACTTTGCGGAAACCCATTATATTAAAGTTGGTAAAAAATTACCTTGCGTACATCCGCTGGATAATATAAAATTATGTGTCTTACCTAGTTTGAAGAGCACCTCCCGCCCTCCCTCAATTGCGTGCACTATCACCGTCACCACTAATCCCAGCACCACTACTCCCAACACCACTACACTAGAAAAGATACACCACTGACGACAATACGACACGTGTTTCGCCTCTACACGAGGCATCTTCAGGTGATGTAAACTGCGGTGGCTGACCGCTAAGTGAGTGTCAAGCCAAAACAACTGTCTGTATAAATTGCAGTAGCTTAGGGGCCTACTAAAAAGCTTATTGGTAACTTCAATTTATTTGGCACAGAGTAGAGTAAACAGTCTTCAGTATTCTACAAGATCAGTTTCGAAATGTTTGCGAATCAATTAAAGACAGGTCTACGTCATTTTATTGTCTTATAAGCACGCATTTGAACCAAATGTTCATGGTTCGTGATGCCTGCAGCAAAGATTTATTATTGTATCCAATAACAACGCGAGTGTTGTTAAGGCAAGAGTGCATAGTTTTTTGTTAAGAATAATCGATGGTCGAGGCTCTGGTGTCCTAACGATAGCGATAAATACATCTATAAACACTTAACTGATTTTTCCAAGACCGATTGGGTAAAGTAGTAAAATCACCAGTGCGAAGGTATAAGGTCATTAATTTACGGCCCAGGGTGGTAAGGCAACAGACCAATGAGCTCAAAAAACTGTACCTATATATGATGATTTGTGTGACACACGAAATATGAATTTTATTATCATCTATCCATCCATTACAACCTATAAAAGTCCACTGCTGGACATAGCAACCGAAGATTTTCATTATTTTGACTTGATATGACATAAATAGCTCGTCTTCTGTTACAGTTTCCCTTTGTCGCATTTTACGATACCCACGGAACGATATTTTTACACCTTAACTACACGGTTGCAAATCATTACAATATATCTCTTGTATATTTTTAACTTGAAGGTCCTTCCAAAGACAATGAATCTTCACAATGCGGTTGTAGGCGAAAGCGTTACCTTTACTGCCACGTTATATAATTATGGAACTTGTTTCTTCACGTCTAAGCTGTACCATGATATTGATGGCATGGGAGATGACTTTAGCGGCGATAAGTATGATATAGACTCTGCAATTGTAAGTGAATGATAGTTATGATAACTTAGATTAGAAATAGCATTAAAAGATAAAGTTAAATATTCCACGATTCAAATTTGAATCGTGGATGTCATAAGATGTACTTCATAAAGAAAGTATAAACTACAAATTAATTTTAAAATTATTTTTTTTTAATTTTGCAAATATACTAAGACTACGATACTTAGACTAAAATACCTTCGTAGGTTTAATGACTTTAGGTGCATATGTTTGTTGGTTTACAGCTGCGTGTTCTCTTATAATAAGTTTATTTCTTTGTTAGTCTGAGGTCTCTAAAATGGATTCAGTTTCATCCTAATCTCAAATTTCCAATACAGAACTGCCTTAAGCCATCAAACCACTGCGAAGTGAAAATGACATTGATACCATACGGCGCGGGTCCACGTCAAGTTGACATTAAATATACGATACTGTACCGTTCCGCGTACGGTGAAGTGGAGGAAATTCAACCAGTCGGGAAATCCATATGCACTGTTTGGTATGACGGCATCTACCCTACGCTTAAGGTCAGCGTAAATCAAATGTAATATCTAGCAAAATTAAAAGTATTTAGTAACTTAAAATAACAAAAAATAGCAAGTGAAACTATATGATATCCAACCCAAAGGACATAAATGTTTAATAAACTGTCAGTTCAGCAACTGATTAATTATTACATATTTAGTTATATCTATATACAGGGTTATTTTTTAAAGAATATACAAATTTTATATTTAAATTAAAATATACAAATAATGACATGCCGTATTGCACTTTATAAAAATACGAGTAAATAAGGCTTCTACTTTTATTATAAATTATCCCAAATTGAATGTTATTTATGTGCAACAACTACCCGTACGCGCTCTCCTCTGTAGTGAATCGCACATTCACTATGTTTTTGCCGACCGAACGATCCTTACGAATGTGTGCGTGCGTAGTAAAATAGTAGGCGTTAGATACTTATGAATGACAATCAGTTAAAATAATGCATTACCACATATTTTGAATTTAAAAGATAAGAAGGACAGAATGTTTGAGATTTTTTTTTTAATTTTTCTTCACCATTTGCCAATATTACTTATTCTGAACCTTCTCTGCAAATTTGATCGGTTGTTGCAAAATAACCCTGTATAGTTTTAAAGTACATTTAGTTACATCTTTTCATTTGGTCGCGCCGTATCGGGGAAACCCCATTGGTATTGTCTATAAATACTGCACTAACTAAGCATCGTCAAAAGAAATAGATACAGCGATGGTTAATAATCGGGATTAGTGGTGACGGAGAAAATACATGCAAATGAGAGAGGGCTCAAACTAGGTAAGACACATCATTTTTATTTTTAAAACGGATCTTGGCTCAATATCATCTTTAACAACACATGCAGACCTGCAGGGCTATTCACAATCGTCTCGGAAAGCGAAATCGACTCTGATTCGATAACTTCTCGCACCGAAACCAATAAACGCTATTCACATTTAACGTTCGGATAAAGGTCACTTAGATACATCCCATAACTATTGTATCGTCATTTAGTTACATGCATTTACGAATTTTGTAGATAAATAGGCTTTTGCATTTTTTTAAAGTAACGCCTGAACAAAAACTTAATGCAATATTTTGGAGTTAGCCACTTTATATCGAATATAAAAAATATATAATTTAACTATATAATAAATAACAAAAAAACTGAGATATGTCTCGTTTCTGTCGGGTCTGGGTTTTTTTCTATGGGGCGTGACCGTACTTCTTTGACGTTTGTTTTCGATAATTGTGACAGTTTGCATCGGAAACGTTACGAGATCTCTGAGGCTGGCGAAAACTTTTCGAATATTGATGATTAGAAGAGATAAATAAACCCTTTTAATTATAAGGTAGGTAACAAAAATTAATTACAATTATCTATAAGACGTATTTTCATATAATTACTTCAATATTTGCACTTAATCGTAAAGCTGAATTTTTGTGAAAGGTGTGTTTTTATAAGTTTTCTATCACAAAGCAGCATATATATATATATATATATATATATATATATATATATATATATATATATATATGTATATATGCTGCTTTGTGAAACGAGACATATCTCAGTTTTTTTGTTATTTATTATATAGTTAAATTATATATTTTTTATATTCGATATCAATGGCTGTAATATTGCATTATGTTTTTGTTTAGGCGTTACTCTAAAAAAATGCAAAAGCCTATTTATCTACAAAATTCGTAAATGCATGTAACTAAATGACGATACAATAGTTATGGGATGTATCTAAGTGACCTTTATCCGAACGTTAAATGTGAATAGCGTTTATTGGTTTCGGTGCGAGAAGTTATCGAATCCGAGTGGAATTCGCTTTCCGAGACGATTGTGAATAGCCCGGCTGCAAACTAATTTGTTTTGCACAGTTGTGCAAACAGTTGTTTGCTCTAGCTAGGATGTAATCCCAAGGTTTTTACTCAGATCCACTAAACGACACGTCTACAGGGTCGTCAATGTAGCTACAGCGTAATAGAACCTACTACCCCATATCATCTTGTAGGTGTTGTAAGAGGCGACAGAGGGAAACACAAACAGGAAATGGGCAGCAGCATCTTCCTGATATCAGCTCAAAATAATTTTAAAAGTAACTGCAGTTGCCAACCCACCCGCCGAGCGTAGCAACTATGGCAAATATCCTTTCTATGAGGCAGCCCATAAGGGTATAGGCTCAGCAGTAGCAGCTTTTGATAGGCTGAATTAATAAAAAATATGATTTTGTATAAATAAATTCTTAGTTAATTATATTACTGAGTTCTAAACATAGTTGCAATTTTAGATAAAACGCACCATCTCCGTCAAATGCCCTATAATTCTCAGCAATCATTGTGTATGGAACATTGTTAACGTGGACGAGTAAGTTACTTTTTTTCGTCTAATATTGTGTTATATTGCGCGTGAATCGTTAGTCACAGAGTAAATAACAGCCCTGTACTTTGATGGGGCGTGTGCGTGTGGTGGTTGTGTAAAGGAAAAATGGAAAATGTTGAAGCGTCAGTAACCTAGTGATTAAATGGGCATAGACGACGACGTGAGTGCAAACTGGACTATCGTGAACCGCTTCTAACACACAGTATAAGCTTATTTGGGGTGGTACAAACAGGAGTATTAGCGTTACTGGTATTATGTTTTAAATTATATAATAAAAAAAATAGACAGCTTCGTAGGGCAGTGGCTAAGGGTTCTATCAGACAGGAAACGGTCACGTGTTTAAGCGTTCCGCGTTAGCGTTCTGCGTTCGAGCGTTCAGTTGCTTACAAATCCCGCTGTTGGACGGCCTAAGCGGTGCCACTATAGTTTTTTGACTATACCATGTTTTTTGACTATAAGTCTTCATTGGAAAATAAATTGTTGATATTGTGAACATTAGCAGTATCAAAACGGAAAAGGAAACATTGGGTGCGTCCAGTTAATAAGAATAGAGAACAAGATGGATAATTTCATAGATTGTTTTGTAAATGGCTTACTGATGAAGAAATATACGTGGGAGAGCCATGCTGCAGCTATATTAGTAGTATATTTGTAGCACGAATGGGTCGGTTCGACCGGGGAAGGACCACGCTCTTTCAGAATACCAGCGTAAAATAGCACCTTAACACTGCTGTGTTTCGTATGGTGTGTGTAGAGAACCGGAGACCCATTTTACTGGACAAGAGGCATTCCATCTTAGTCCTCACGGGTGACGACGCATCTGCATTTTGATTCTTTATTGAGGATAAATGTAGATGTCTATGGGTCTCAGCAACCACTTACCATCAGGTGGACTGTGTGCTCATTTGTCACCCTATTCTATAAAAAAAAAATATTTTTTAATTTATTTTCGGTCCCCATGTCTCTGGCAATTTCTAACCATGCTTCTGCTACTTTTCGTCGGTTTTTATAATCATCATTCTTCACATCATATAAAAAATACCTTTCCGACCGAGAAGTTGATGATGTTAGTACGACTAACATAATTAACTTCTCGGTCTCCATCTTCCTTCCGTTGTGGACACTGAAACAGCAGTGAACGCGCGAACGCGTGCGTTCTGATTGACCGATGCGGTCAGAATGCCTGCTGTCTGGGTATGCTATGTTGTGTATAACGTAATACAACACATACACAACGAACGCAGAACGCGAACGCGGAACGCTTGAACGCGTGAACGCGCTCGAACGCTGTCTGATAGATTCCTAAACGTTTGGCCGCGGTGCGGAATCCTACAGGGAACAAGTACTTACTTATTTATATGTCTTACAATTCATTGATATAGGTCTGGATGTTTGTCAATGTGAAATTTGGTATGAGCCGTGGTTGCTCAGATGATTAGCGCTCGCTGTAAATTTCACAGCACGCGAGCAACCCAGGTTCGATCACCGCCGGCACCAATGAAATTGTTAATTGCAATTTTAAGCGCTGTATTACCCCGGCAATACATGTTGACCAAGCCTCAATCTCCACGTTAGTCAAGTTCGAAAGAGACCAATGCCAACTGCCTATGCTCACGAGTTTTTGTGGAGCTTTTATTTTTTTTATAGGAGAGGGGGCGAAAAGCAGCAAAGCGAGCGGCTCACCTGATGGTAAGTGACTACCGCCGCCTATGAACAACTGCAACACCAGGGGAACCAGGGGAATCGCAGATGCGTTGCCGGCCTTTTAAAAAGGAGTAGGCTCTTTTCTCTTCTTGGCTTTTTAAAAAGGAGTAGGCTCTTCACATATCGTTCCAAGTCTCAACGAACGACGTAGAAATTATTGCAGTTTCTGCTACTTATTTAATGAGTCCATATAATTATTATGTCAGTGTACTCCGCAGTAAAGTTATAATAAAAAGAAGAGGCAGTGACATTTTCGAAACTTAATTAAAACATAACATCTCACTGGGACGGACGCCAAGCTGTAACTGACATGGCCAACACCGAGGTAGCTGGGCGGTACGAGTATGCGTAGTGAGGCTGTGGAACGGTGTGAGCGTGATGTGCTAGGCCGCTGAGCGGTGCAAGGATGCGTAACGACGTTGTGAAACGGTGCGCAGATGAGCGGTGCGAGGATGTGTAGCGGGCTCGTTTCAGATGCGAGCGGGGTGAGCTGTTGTGGGAGCGGAGCGCGCGCGCCATTGCCCGTTGATTCTTGCGTCATTCCCTAGCACACAGTCCTCGCGCATATCCCTCGCACACATCCTTCCCTTATTTTGTATATACAAAAACCTCACTTTCACTCCGCTTAGCCGTTTCCACTAGAGCTGCGCTGAGCAAGGCTAGGTAAATGAAGTGATTCCTCGCTACGCCTCCTCGCACATCTCTGGTGGAAACGCAGCCTAACATGTGGACGCGACTTTCCGAGTGCAGGCGAGCGCCTTTGATTTGTGCTGAAAAACCGACACTGTTCCGAAGTGAGACGAGTCGTAGCGAGCGATCCCGAATGTTGCTAAGGCACGCCAAACGACCTGAATACACGTTGGCGCTCGCCTGCACTCGACCAGCTAGGCGAGCGTCGACGAGCAGTGACGCTAAGTTCTCGGCGGTGAAAGAAAACATCGTGAGGAAAATTGCATGTCTGAGAAAAAAAATATTTCAAAGACGTGAATTTCGCCAACACGCATTGGGACTACGCTGTGCACACTTCCTTGCCCTAAAAACCCTCTTAGAAATGAGAGGAAGCCTGTGCCCAGCAGTGGGGCGTATATAGGCTGTAACTTTAACTTTTTAACTTAATTTGTGTATTAATACTGGAAAAATTACTTTTTTTATAGAATAAATAATCTAAGATAAAATGCCTCGTTTCCAGTAAAAAGTCTCATTTCTCTACACTCACCATACGAAACACAGCAGCATTAAGCTGCTATATAACGCTGGTATTCTGTAAGAGCGTGGTCCAAGAAAATTAAAGGCCAATTTCCATTTTAAATACTTTCAGTAAAATATTTGAAAAAATCGTTTATGACCAAATCTACAGCACAATAGCGAAAGGCGTAAGTCACGCCCAGCATGGTTTCTTGATGTGGCGCTCGTCTTGCGGAGTTTTTTGAGTTTGTTCTTAATAATATGGAACGTGGGGGGCAAGTTGACGTTCCCGGTCGTGTCGACCCATTCGTGCTGCAACCATAGCCAAGTATAAGCACGGCTCTATAAATTGCGAGTGTGTACCGTTCTTTTAATAAAAATTAACTAAAATGTTCCACCCGTGGCTGTTTTAAGAAGTGACTAGAGGAAAGGCCAGAAAGGCTAAACTGTCTTGAAGACAAATTTTGTGGATTTTAGATTTAAAATACCCAGACTGGTGACTCAAATCTCCTCGTCAAAGGTGTTAGACGTCTGATACAACGTTCGCCAATCCAATTGAGAATCATGGCGAATACGGCAAATCATTCCTCTGGGTAGATTGTTTTTTTGCTTGTGGCGTCATTTCTGCAGTATTTCGAATCAGATAATATAAGATGCCTTTCTATTGCTGCAAAACAAAATACCTAGTCAGGTCATAAATTCTGTCACATGTTTAATATAAAATAATTGAAACAAGTTTATTCATTATGTAACCATTTATATACCAAAATGAACTTAACAAAACATAGATTCTTATGACACTAAAGTTTATTCAAAATGACCTCCGTGATTTTGAATACAGGCCTTCAATCTGCGCGGCCAGTAATCTATCGCAGCACGAACGAGGTCCATGTCAATATCGGCGGCTGCCTTAATCAAGGATGTCTTGAATGACTCCAAATTCTCTCAAAAGCTCTATGAGCTGGCGCCGAATCTTGTTGGAATACCCAGTGCCTGTTATTGAACATGGTATGAGAAACAGGTTCCACAAGGTTCGTCAGGACTGTATTTTGATACACAACTGCATTCGTTTTTACACCTTTCTCACAAAAATGTACCTCTGTTAAGCTCCAATAAGAAACTCCCAACCATACCATGAGCGAGGATGGAAAATGACCTCGTTGGACACGTGGAATACGGTTGCTCGCTTCTTCACTACTGTGTGCGTACACCTTATCATTTTGTTTGTTGTAGCTCTCTGAAACGGTAAAAAATTTTTCAACCGAAAAAAGAATTTCCCGATATTTTTTTCCCGCGTACCGCTTCAACAAAGCGCGGCATCTCTTCAGTCTCAGGTCCATTAGACGAGCATTCAAACGATGTCCTGTTTTTCTTCGATATGCCCGAAGCCCTAAGTCTTCATTTAACACCCTTTTCACCGTGGTTCTGCTTAACCCCATCTGAAGGGTCAACAGTTTCTGCTTACGTTTGGGATTTCTTTGAATTCGCGCCTTCACAGCTTTTATCACTGCTGGAGTCCTAACAGACCGAGGGCGACCACTTCTTGATCTATCATCTACACTAGAGTCTTCATTGTATCGTTTGATGGTACGATAAACGAATCTTTTGGTTATATTCAAATTTTTCAGTATGTCAAAAATTTGAATTGGCGCGTAACCGCGTCGATGCAACACGGTCTTCTTTAAGCGTCCACTCCATATTTAAAAATGAGTAAAATTCTAAACAGTATACAGTTTTATTTTCATGAACAATTCGAAATTCGAATTCAATAAACTTTTTTGTGGCCAGCATTCTATAAGAAAAGTTTTTACTGTGTGACAATACTTATGACCTGACTAGGTATATTTATAACAATTGTTCTGTTTTAATTTTTCTCATGGTTTAATCGTTCTTGTTCTACGATATTGTTTGTTGCTATGTACAACATTTCATTCTTTCAATTAGTGAGGTATTCTCTGCCTTCTGGGTTACAATTTTTTTTATAATTTTAGGTTTAATAAGGCTTTAATGGATGTTAGACCAAACAGCCCGCTAAACATAAATCTTTACGCCCCTGATCTTTGTGTTAGATCAGGTCAAGTGGAATTGGTACTTGTATTGGGTTGCGTGTACGCTGTGGCCGTGCCATGGAATATGCGTAGGAAGAAGATCTGTGACTGCGCTATGGTCGAAATTCAGACTGGTATATCAACGTACGAGAAGAGACATACATGTGTTCATAGAAGCTTCGTAGAAATGACTCCAAATAGCGGGATCGCTACGGTAAATGTGTTTAAATTTTGTATTTTTTTTTTTTTGTAAAAGAAAAATGCTTTTTATGTACTTGTAAGGGCGTTATATGTACATGATTAAGCTACTGTTTTTAAAACTGAAAATTGTGGTAAAGAATCCTTTTAGCCTTGTGTAGAATTACAGATAATTCTGATTTAATTTCTTGTTTTATATCAACAGCCTTAGTAAGTCCAATGCGCAAACTGACACGGCATCTTGATAGATTTACTCAGATTGTCTCATAATCACCACGCTCAAACGGTTTCAATCAGCAAGACACAACGCGTGAGGTTGGCACTTGAAGACAAAATATTGGCATTATTCCTCCATGTTGCAGCATCATAATATATTACTTGCCTGGATATTTTTATTTTATTTTATTATTTTTAAAAAATACTAGCAATTCTATTAACATTACTAATATTCTCTTTAACCACTTCTGGTAAGCTTTAAACGCTTGTGTTAGAAGTGGTTCACGACAGTAGTCGAATGGCGGATTCGAACCCACGACATTTCTAGTTCGCGGTCCGCATCCTGCCATTAGGCTACTAGATAATAGATACGTATTATGCTTCTGCGAATAATTTATTTCGATCTTTTATTCATTATCATTTATTCATAATTTATGTCGGTTAATAGTATAAATGCAACATACATAGGTCGGAGAGTAGCGTCAGAGAAACGTCTTTTACAACGATCGCCGGTGTTATTGCTGTGCGTGATAATTACGGCAAATTCTTCCTATATCGGGAAAGGTCCATTTGCAGCAATGGATTGTTACAGACTGAAGAAAATTGAAAATAATATAACCAAAAATGGAATTTTTCAATTGTATTTAAAAATTTCAGCCGGACAATCCCAATTTACTTACTTTAAAATTTAACTACGGTTACCAAGGACTTAATACTTTATGCTATATTATGACTATGCCAAACCAAAGGATTCTAAACATTTACATCAATGTGTATGCACACCTTAACACTAAAGGTGTGCTCACACCGCTTCGACCACCTAAGACTGAAGACTATTTGGCCATTTTAGACTGTGGACGAGTACCGATAAACAACTTGGATCCTGTTATAAGGGTAATTTGTTCATTCAACTTATTGATATTTAAAATATAAATATAACAGCTTATGTACATAATTTTATTTAGGTACGTCCACTTGCTCTTATCCAACCCTGTTGATAATTGCATTTCTAAGATTTTTAAGTATTTAAGTTTTAACTAGAGAATTTTATAACCTATTTATTTAAAAAAAAATTTACGAATCCACTAAGTACCCCATATCATCCTTTCGATGTCGTAATACGCGACATAGGAAAACTGAACTGTTCGATTTTGTTAATTAATTTCATAAGATAAAAATAATAACGATGTTATTAAATGTGTTCTCAACATGTCCTAAGAAATTATAAGCCTTTTCATTTGGTGTAACTTTGAAATGGTTTCATTATGGAATCTTTGCAAGGTACACGTAAATTTTATCAAACCAATTATTATGATTCATGTTTCTGTCTTTATACAGCACTTGTTAGTATGTTCAATTTAAAAGAAATATGTTTTTTCTATAATTAATTACATTTAAGAAAATTTAAGAAGATTATAGAAAGTTTAAAAATACTGTACTTAAAAATACGTCGCCATAAAGCGAAAGCTTATTTATTTATTTATTTATTTATTTAGAAAACCAACAGCGTATATAGAAAATATTAACATTAATGTAACAAACTAAAAGTATGGCCAATAACAGGTTTCCCTTATATTGTTTGATGGTAGGTGTATTGTTGTTAGAAGAAAAGGAAAAAGAACAATCTAATAGATAAATTATAAGCAAAATTATAAGCAATTCAATGTAATGAAGGTGGTCATAACTTTACAGATCAGGAGAGATAGTCAGGTAGAATGATATATTACATTACCTTTATATATATATTTACTTATGTATATATATTAAATGTTTAAATATATAAACATAATACAAATAATTAATTATAATATATATTAAATAAAATAACTTAAGTACTTATATTTATATTAGTAGCCTCAAAAATACATATAGAAGAAATAGATGAGAGAATATATGATTGTATGTGATTTTAACTTCAACTGCTCTATTTCGTAATAGTTTTCTTGATGTAATCTTTAAACGTAAGTTTAGATTTCGCTTATTCGATTATCTTAAGAGATTTTCCGCTGAGCTGTTACCGTGCAGCACTGCAAGCATCTGTTAACACAGGGAGATAAGCGATCATTCGGAACCTTTTATAAGCCTTATATGTGTTATTGTCATAATACTTATACTTGTTTAGATTCTAAATACAACGTGGTACTTGTTATTAGATTGTTTGGCTCTACAATCCCACGGAAGTCTACACAACTTGGCGTTTATTGCGTAGCAATGTAACCACCCCGGGCGCTGTGATCCGGTGCCTCCAATACTTTGCCGAAGTATCACCTTTAGACAAACTGGCTATACCCTTTGCATTCATGCCAACAGAGATGATCGACTATGAGGTATTCACTCATTAGGTACATTAAAATAAGAAACTTAATTTGCTAAGACATGAGTGTAAAATTAACATGATGTGAATTGTCTAATTTGAAGAGCCCCACCCTTTTCCTCCCTTCGTTGGATGTGTATAAATTTAGTTCATTTATATGAATTTAGCAAATTTATCTTTTCATTTTTATTTACTTTCAGCGAAGACTTAAAATGTTGTACATCCTGTTTATTCGTAACTACCCACGACTTCGTCCGCGTTGCTCGATATAATAAAGTTTTCGTATGTGCGAAGGAAAAAACATCAAAAAGATTGCAAGGAAAAATATACTTTGCATACAAAATTTCTTTATAAACAACATTATTCGTTGAATATAATGTTCACTGAACACGTAATGCTTATAAAAATCGTTGTTTCTTAAAACTTTTATAACTTTATATTAAATTAAGATATCGCATTTTTTTATATAGGCCAAATGTTTCAAAAATAAAATTTAGAAAACCTAATTGAAATCAATCCAGAAATTTTTCCGTGATGCGCGCACAACTGCGAACCTACCATTTTATTTATATAAATTTCAAATGGCAACTGTGACATTTTTTAAAAAATAAATCTAAAAATGTCCCACTTTTCGAATTAGTTATTAGCCCAATTCCCCCCCCCCCCCCCCATCAACATGGTAGCGGAATTAGACAATAGACTACCCCAGGAGGGTACCAGTACCCCTGGAGAATCCCTCGCTGAGCATCCACGACCATGTTATTCCAATCCTGAGCGTAGGTGCTCAGGCTGCCCCGCGTATTCTGGGGGGGGCAAAATTCCGCTCAAAAACAAAACTGCTCGGGGCAAGCTGAGCAACAATACCAAGGCGACCCCTGCCACGCTATCCGTGAATTTCTGCAACATCAGGGGACTTCACTCTAACCTAAACGCCGTCCACTACCATCTCGAGACGGCGAAGCCGGCTTTGCTCTTTTTGACCGAGACGCAGGTTTCCTCTCCGACTGATATTTCGTATCTCTCCTACCCGGGGTACAAATTGGAGCACTTCTTTGTGCCTCGGGCTGGAGTTTGCGTGTATGTTAGAGAGGACATCTGTTCTCGACGCCTCGGCAGTCTTGAAGGTTCGGACCTGTCCATCCTTTGGCTACGCGTAGACAGCGACGACCATCCGCGCGTCTACGGGTGCCTCTATAGGTCCCATAGCGGTAATGCCGAAACAGACCGACTCATCGACCACGTCCAAATGGCTACAGATTCCTTGCTACAACAGGTCCCATCCGCAGAGATCGTGATCCTTGGCGATTTTAACGCCCACCATGCCGAATGGCTCGGTTCACGTTTAACCGATCATGCGGGGAGATCTGTTTATGACTTTGCCTTGGCATATGGTCTGACACAACTGGTTACTTCGCCTACGCGGATTCCAGATGTGGAGGATCATACACCTTCCCTGTTGGACCTTCTGCTGACCTCTCATCCGGACGGATATCAGGTTTCCGTCGATGCCCCTCTCGGCTCTTCGGACCATTGTCTGATCCGGAGTATGGTGCCACTCACGCTCCCTTCGCGGTTGCGTTCTGCAGGTTGCCGCCGTGTTTGGCATTACAGGTCGGCGGATTGGGACGGAATGCGGTCTTTCTTTGCATCCTACCCATGGGGGCGGGTTTGCTTCTCGCCGGATGATCCCAGTGCTGTTGCTGACTCTGTCACTGATGTGGTGCTACAGGGAATGGAACTATTTATTCCATCATCTGTGGTACCCATCGGAGGCAGATCTCAGCCTTGGTTTGGTCGCTCCTGTAAGACTGCATTGCGCAGTAAGCAGGAGTGTTATCAAGCCTGGGCTGCGGCTTCGGTGACTCGGGATGTAAACACCAGCACACTTAAAAAGAAGTATAACTTCGCCTCCAGGTCCTTCAAAAGAGTTATTGCCAAGGCAAAGTCAGAGCACATAGGCAGAATTGGCGAGAAACTAGTTCGCCTTCCTTCGGGAACCCGTGCATTCTGGTCTCTCGCCAAGGCTGTCCAAGGGAATTTCTGTAAGCCATCACTACCATCTCTGCACAGGGAGGACGACTCACTGGCCCAAGACGCAAAAGACAAAGCCGACCTTTTAGGCTCCCTTTTTGCGTCCAACTCGACTCTTGATGACGGGGGGAAAATACCGCCGACCATCCCGCGGTGTGAGTGCTCCATGCCGGATGTGCTATTCTCACAGCGCTCAGTTCGCAAAGCACTTCTCTCCCTGGACATCCAGAAGTCGAGTGGGCCTGACGGAATCCCCCCAATTGTGCTGAGGACGTGTGCTCCGGAGTTGGCACCGGTCCTAACGCGTCTTTTCCGGTACTCCTACTCCCAAGGCGTAGTCCCGAATTCATGGAAGACAGCTTTTGTCCACCCGATCCCTAAAAAAGGCGACCGCTCAGACCCGTCCAACTATAGGCCTATCGCGATCACCTCCTTGTTCTCCAAAATAATGGAATCCATTATTAACTGCCAGCTCATCCGGTACCTTGAGGATCACCAGCTGATTAGTGACCGCCAATACGGTTTTCGTCGGTGTCGATCAGCTGGTGATCTTCTGGTCTACCTGACCCATAGATGGGCGGAGGCAGTAGAGTCCAAGGGGGAGGCGTTGGCCGTTAGTCTGGACATTGCGAAGGCCTTTGATCGGGTTTGGCACAAAGCGCTTCTTTCGAAGCTGCCTTCCTATGGGCTTCCCGAGAAATTGTGCAATTGGATCACCAGCTTTCTTGCAGATCGGAGCATCAAGGTCGTTGTAGACGGTGCATGTTCTGACTACAAGCCTATTAACGCTGGTGTTCCACAAGGCTGTGTGCTATCACCAACGCTGTTTCTTCTGCATATCAATGATATGTTGCTAACTGGTAACATTCATTGCTATGCGGATGACAGCACTGGTGATGCTCTATACACCGGCCGGGCCAATATTTCTCGGGAAAACGTCGCCGAGTACCGGAACAAACTTGTGTCTGAAGTCGAGTCTTTGCTGGACAAAGTCTCGGATTGGGGGCGACTAAATCTAGTCCAGTTTAATCCTCAGAAGACACAAGTTTGCGCGTTTACCGCTAAAAAGAACCCCTTTGTCATATCTCCTCAGTTTCAAGGCACTCCCCTTCTTGCCTCAGCCAGTATCGGTATCCTCGGAGTCGACATATCGAGTGACGTGCAGTTTCTTGGTCACTTGGAAGAGAAGGCCAAATTGGCCTCTAAAAAGCTTGGCGTGCTCAGCAGAGCGGGACAGTATTTCATGCCGGCACACCGCCTGCAACTTTACAAGGCGCAGGTTCGGCCTCACATGGAATACTGTTCCCATCTCTGGGCAGGGGCTCCCCAGTGCCAGCTCCTTCCACTTGACCGCATCCAGCGCAGAGCGGCTCGAATCGTCGACGACCGAGCCCTTTCCGATCGGCTAGATTCATTGGCACTGCGAAGAGATGTTGCATCTCTTTGCATTTTCTTTCGCATCTACCATGGGGAGTGCTCTGAGGAATTGTTCGGATTAATCCCAGGCGCCAAATTTCACGAACGCACATCGCGACAGAACTCCCGATACCATCCACACCATCTGGATGATTGGCGGTCCACCACTGTGCGATTTAGAAGATGTTTTCTTCCTCGCACAACTTCCTTGTGGAATAGTTTACCACCAGGGATTTTTCCGGACCGATACGACTTAGGGACCTTCAAGAAAAGAGCCTACTCCTTTTTAAAAGGCCGGCAACGCATCTGCAATTCCCCTGGTGTTGCGGTTGTTCATGGGCGGCGGTAGTCACTTACCATCAGGTGAGCCGCATGCTCGTTTGCCCCCTCTCCTATAAAAAAAAAAAAAAAATTAGTAATAGGACTCTTGAGTTCCTAAACGCGTAGAAATTTTGAATATGAATAAACCTCTTAATCTGTTTTATATAAGTAAAGCATATTAGTGTAAGTTAAGCATCTTAGTAGGTATAGAACGACGCGCATGCTTCGAATTATAAATAAGTATTATTACAAATATTTGAACAAACACAAATAAGCAATATTGTTTGTCGATTGTAGGTAACATTTCTATGTTCATTTGGTTACGACATTGTCAGTATATTAGTTAAAGGACAAGGCGGGTTACCAAACTGCGTCGAGACGAGACTTGACATTCCCAGTTACGTAGAAAAAATTGCTCGAGCTGCGTATAGAACCAGTGTGGTAAGTGTTTTACTGTTTTAGATAAATGAAAATGTAAAAATGCATCGTTTAAGTTCAAAATGCTTTAAAACAATATGTGCATTAGCACAGTCTTACTAGCAATAAACTGTGGCGTTAGTTTGTTAACCAATTTGTAGTGCGTGTACCCTTCAATTAGCTTATCTCTTTGAATGGGGACGCAACCACAGAACATAAAATATCCAAGAGGTCACAGACCCAACCCTGTTGCAGCACTGCTAGATATAATTTTTTTCTCTTGTTGAGTTGGAGAAAACAGAGTTTAGAGAGGGGTTGGAGGGTTTCCTTTTGATTTTCAATGATGTTTTCCGACATAAAATTCATAAAGTTATTTTTTTCTATTTTCTAAGAAACTTTCTGTTTTCTCCTTTCTCTTTATTCAAATTTCGAAATTTCAAGGTGTTCAATTTCAGGTTTACCTATCCAAAGACCATCTTACTCTGCCAGTAATGCCAACTCACTCACTTTCGAGAGAAATTATAGCTATTTGTAATGACACGGATCACCTTGTAAGATTCATATGGCTACCGTAAGTAATAATATAACAAATTTGTACAATGTTTGTGTATAACATTATATAAACAATTGAGCTTCTAGTACATCACATAATAAGGGGCTATACTGCAGTCCTTTGACATCAACAGATACGTTGTCTTCTCTGACGAGTAGATAATATAGGATGCCCCACAGTCTTCAAACACAGGAACACAGCAGTCGATAAACAGAGTGTCCTGCCCCCTTGTAATAATGTTTGTTTTCTATTTGAATAGAAAATCAGTTCAGCTTTATGGATTTTCGTGATGACGTACGTTTTGAAATTTATTTCTACATACAATGTGTTCTTGTCTGTTATATTTTTGGCAAATATGCAGAAGACTTTACGATAGACCTCCGTTATATTTCGACCATGGCGAGAAACTTCTGAATACTACCGCACCTTATGAGATATTCGTTGACTATAAGACTATTCATATTATCTTCTTTTGTGATAGGCAGCCTCGTAGTGTTATTCGCCGTATAATATACACGGTATACGCTATGTAAGGCATCAATCGCTATGTGAAGCAACAGCTACTTGTTGAAATAAAAGTAAGTTTCAGGCTAACTCGGGACTATTCTTAGTATTCTAGAATAAGGGTGAGAACCGAGCACACATTCCACCAGATGGTAAGTGGATGCTATGGTCCAAAGCCAACTACATCTATCCTTGGTAAAGAATTCAAATGTAAACTTATGCGTTATGCGACTACGATGGAACGCCTCGTTTCCAGTAAAAAAAAGTCTCTTGTCCTTTACACTCACCATACGAAACACAGCAGCATTAAGCTGCTATTTTACGGTAGTATTCTGTGCAAGCTTGGGCCCTTCCCCGGTCGAGCCGATTCTTTCAGTAAAGTTATACAACATAGTAGTTCACTTCAACCTACACTGCACTTTGACCACACTACTTGATGTGAGCGAGGCATGCAGGGAGAGTGGGGGAAGACCTATTTTCAGCCGTAGACTTACGGTGGACTGTATTGCTTTTTTTTATAGGTTAGGGTCACAAACAAGCACCCAGTCCACTTGATGGTAAGTGGTTGCTGTGGCCCACAGACATCTATATCTATCCTCGTTTGCGAATCAAAGTGCAGATGCGTTGTCACCCGTGAGGACTAAAATGGAACGCCTCTTTTCCAGTTAAAAGGGTCTCCGGTTCTCTACACTCACCATACGAAACACAGCAGCATGAAGCTACTATTTTACGCTGGTATTCTGCGAGAGCGTGGTCCTTCCCCGGTCGAACCGACCCATTCGTGCTACAACTATACTAGATACTAATATAGCAGCAGCATGGCTCTACCACGTATAAAATAATTAATTGCTCATAATGATTCCTTTTATTATATCTGTGGAAGGTAGTGTTAATAAAAGTCACCAAATATAACGCACAAAACGTTTGTTGTGTCTATAAGTACAAAGAACATTTAGGAAGGCGGATAACGTACACACTGAAAACACATAAAAGAAAATTTAAGTTGGATATGCCTCCACATACCTATTCTTCGTTTTTAATATTCCAACATTGTTCCAACATTGTTTTTAACATTCCAACGTTGGACTAATTGCTCCATAACCGTTTCAAAAATGGGCGGGGCTTGAGTTCAGCTGTGGGACGTATTGAGGCTGTAACTTAAATAACTAATCACTAACATAACTAATCAATAACCAACCATTAACTAATCCTAACTTAACTATAATAATAAGCATATTTCTCCAGTGAAAGAATTGCAAATATAGTGAATATAGTAATGACACCATGGTGGGGAGTTATACAGCCTAAGAGTACAGAATGGATTACAATGACCGTCTACACCCTACAAGAACCAGCGACTTTCACGTAAGTACTTCGTAGAAATGTGTTTGTCTCTGAAATATCGCAACCAAAATTCAACCATCTAATATTCTTTGTTGATTCAACGCATTATTCATCTTCATTTCAAAAACCGTTGCGTTACATTATAGCTGTATAATAATACATTTTATTGCAGCAAAACTGTCTCAAAAATGACTTCGCTCGACCAGGGAATGAGTGTACTTAGCGCGAGTGTGTTAGTGCTTAATGATGACAATTAGTGACAACGCATTTGCATTTTGATTCTTATTTGAGGTTGGACATACATACAGCATCCACTTACTATCATTATATGAACTGTGTACAAGGGTCACCAGTGAAAAACTTTTCTCACACTGCCGCCATGAGAAATGGTCACGTGCTGATATGGAGGCTATATTAGTTACTCTATAATGAACTTGATCAAGGGGCGACTATGCGATGTATATTTTTTTATAGGATAAGGTGACAAACGAGTACACAGTCCACCTGATGGTACCTGGTCCTATAAAAAAACATCAGAATAACATATTATGAATGATATAGTATAAACAGGATATACACAATAACAGAATAAGGATGATATAGTGGTCATATACCCTGACCAGGGCCGTGCGGTTATTGTCCGACGGCTGTTGTTATTAATTTACCGCGTTACATTCTGCTACTTATTGTAGGTGTTACTGATCTGCTTAGTTCCGCGACTGACCAAAAGTCACGGTATTTTTTTAGTGATTTTATTCCAAAATACGGAACCCTCAAAAGAAAAAAGAAACTCCATTAAAATGTATTATTGTCTGCAGTATTAGCGCGTATTGCATGCCTTAGGCGCGAAGCGCGCAGGTATGTTCTGCTAGGGCCTAAAAGTTAAGATTCCAACGTTTTGTCGCAAGAAATCGTATCTAGCAATCATATTATACATATAAATGATATAAAAAGCACATTGTCAGAAAGATAAACGATTGTAGAATTTTCTTCTTTCATATATTAAATAATATTTTATTTATTTATTGTAAACGAATACAGAACCACAGTTTCCTGTGAAATTCTGGACTTAACTGAGCGTCGACGCTATCTGCGAAATGAGCAATTGAAAATAATCAAAACAGAGCAGTGCGATCAAGAATTCATTATTACTGAACAAGGATTATTTCATCGCGTATGTACAATTTATGTATTTTTGAAATGTTTTTGTGACTGCAAAGCTTTAGCCGTACTTATGATAATTTCTTGGCATTTTGAGGAGATATTCAATGAGTGTAATTGGAGTCGCCTGTTTAGTGTTTTGTCCAAATACATTTATTTATTTTTACTTTCACTTGTCATACATAGCACCAGTTTGCGCATACAAGCAATCTCTCATCCCAACCTAACCGTTTCTATACACCCATAACGCCCATAACCAATGTAGCGCTTCTTACAATACTTTCTTCACTCTAAGGTTTGCTGAAAGAAAATTCAATAAGTTCGCTTTTGTATTGTATTTTATTCAAATATTTGTTTATGAATTCTTTGTGGCACATAAAGAAATTATTAAATTACTTGATAAACACTTCTTCGTGTGGTATGAGAGCTTTCCTTAAAGTATACATAAGCAAGCTATGCTTATACTCTAAGGAACTTTGAAATCGTTCTATAACTGCCAAAGCTAAAAGTAAGGATACGGACGACATACGTCCCTCTTCTGGACCTCCTCTTATTTCTAAGAGAGCTTGAGAGCAAGAAAGTGTCCACAGCGCTGCTCCAATGCGTGTTGGTGGACTTCACTTGTCTTATAAATACTTTTTTACTATACAGACTTGTGTGAGAAATAAAAAATATAAATAAATATATTTTATGCCGATTTCCTTATGATATTTTACTTCAACGCCGGGCACTTAAAGTTGCAATTAACAATTTCATTAGTGCCGGTCGGAATCGAAACTAGGTTGCTCGCATACTGTGAAATCTACAGCGAGCGTTTCGCCCCAGAGCTACCACGGGTTTTTACGATGCCCTCTCGAAACTAAAATGTAATGTTTCAGCGGGAAGATTCATGGTAACTTCACATGTCAATGGCACAGACAGATCACAGGTGCATATAGTCACGAAACCACGATTATTAGCTTCTAATACTTTATTATTAATAGCAGCTCTTTTCAGGGAATTAATGACAGTCCACCATATGTGTTAGAAATTGAAAAACCACAACCATCCTATCTGGCAATGTCTGTTTCGATTTCGTCCAAAGGCCAGCGCGACGGGTATACTAGGATGCCCTTGAAACAAATGTGGGAACAGGTAGGTACCTATTTGAATATTTCTAAATTGCAAATCGGTTTAAGTTACGATAATTATTGTTTGCTTAGCATAAAGTAAACTACATTTCTTGATCCGAGACCCTCTGACTGCTAATGTTGCTCTCAATCATCGATTTTTAACAATATCCTGGCCTGCGTTAGATGGCGATAGTACCTAAATACCTACGATAGTTGTCTCATAACATATTAAAATACACCGAGCCTTTATCTCGTAAATGCCTATTAGCCGTGACCCGTGACATAATAACACCCAATTACATACCATTCAAGCGTTGTGATTTCTACCTATAATTAATAAGTTAGGCATAAATATTTTCATTTAAAGGATGTTTGCGGTTGAAATTTTTTCCATTTCCATAACCTAGCCTGTTGGTTTTAAGCGATTTAAAGAATTGATTTTTGGCCAACGTAAGGAATTGTTTAATCTACAAATATCTTTGCAAGGACGAGTTGAGAATATATTCGAAGTCGACTCCATTATACGAATTCCTATTAATTATTTTCTCCAAGTTTGAACTTTTGTGTATACTAAACAAAATTTAATTCGATAGACTCCGCCATACGATTTACTATCATCTGAGATGAATCCACACGAAGGAGGTAGAGAACTGACTTCAAGCGGCAATAACATGACGATAACTGATATAATAAGAATTATAGACGGAGTTTTATGGTATGCACAGGCAACATTACATAATATCATTAATTTCTTAATAAATTCTTTGCTTTAATTGTATTCAACAAATTGTATATTTTAGGGATGCACTGCATAGTAAGATATTTAGGCACCAGATTGAATATTTCTCTAAGGAAGAGATACCTACGTATGAAGACTTAGTTAAGACAATCGAAAATGACTCAAAGCCAAGATTCAGCAAACGGTATGTTCCCATTTATAGTTATAGGTAATCGGAGAACGCAGACCGGCGTAAAGCAGTGTGAAAAGCGTGATACGTCTAGTAGTGCGATAGCCAACCCACTGACCAAGCGTGGAGAATGCAGTTCAAAATCTTTGCAAAATCTTCCCTGGAAGAACCCAGCCGTGGGCTACTTCGTTTCGGAAACCAAATACCGATATTTTACTAGGCTGAGCTTCTTTTCTGCCGATCTGTCTGTACAAGTATCATCCTCTCATTTATTTCTGCCGTCGAGTAGAAATGCGTCCATTACTTAATCCCGACTTGAAGGATATGGAGAGTCGGTTGAATTTCAAACTGAGATACGTTCCATCTTAGTACCCAGAGCTGAAAACGCACTTGTACCTTTTTTATGAAATTTGTTGAAATGTCTATGGGCTGCAGTAGTCACATAACATCAGGTGGACATTTAACGTGTTTATCATTTTAATGGTATACAAAAAAAATTTGTTTCGAATATGAGTCATTACCAGTGCTTTCATGGGTATCGGTTTTGTGCTCCTCAAGCTGTCTTCCTAACGTGGTGAATATGTGGCCGATTCTTATTAATTTACAAATCATAGCCTTCCTGAAAATATCTAACTACTACAGTGAGGGTTTTCGGATTTCATATTACTTCGTTCTCGAAATAATTTCTTCTTCGTCTACTCAAGTAGGTTTACTCAAGATGTTTTGTTTCTTTGCGAACTCGTGGCAAAGTTAGGTAGGTATATTATTAATACCGTAAGGCAAGTAAAGAACGCGTAACTCATAGTGGAATTCGAGTTCAATAAGGGTTTGTGGATTTCATATTTCACCTTAAAATATATATTTTTTTTTATTACCACCGCCGCCCATGTACAACCGCAACATCAGGGGAATTGCTTATGCGTTGCCGGCCTTTTAGAAAGGTGTAAGCTATTTTCTTCTATTTAACCAATTCTTACTGATGATAGGACTTTTCTGTCTAGGGGTCCCTCTTGGTAGGAACCACTCTGTTACCTACTTCTGCCGCCAAACAGCATTGCTGCGTTCTGGCCTAAAGGCTATAGAAAGCGTATACTATAACAGGCTGTGAAGCATTCCATCTTAGTTCTCAGAAGCATCTGTAGCTTACTTTCCTTGAGGTGTATATGTACTGCAATAGCGGCTTAACATCAGGTGGACTGTGCTATCATTGGAAACTTACTTTTATAAAAAGAAAAAATCATTCTTGGAATAAATTCTATTTCTTTTATTCAAGTAAGTTTCCTCAAGATTTTTGTTTTCGCAACTGAGCTCGGATACTTTATGGATATTATTTCGAAAATTCCGCAATATTTGAAATAATATCTTTAGTGATCTTACATTACTTCTTAAGTTCTTTATTTGCCACTTAAGATCGATTGTAAATCGATCCCAAGTGGCAAATATCCAATGAAATTTAAGGCGAGAATTCGGCTCAAGGCCTACTAGGCTTAAGGCTAGTACTCGCCTTAAATTTCATTATTACTCGCCTTAAATTTCAATATGGTTTTATTAATATTAATGTTGATATTTTATTATTTTATAATAAAATGTATGCAATTGTTCCTTAGAATTACCTCTGGAATATGCGACGCCATTGTCAACAAAGCAATATTCAATGTCTACAATTTGAACATTAAACAAGGTGTATCTATTCTAGAGGCTGAATAACAACATAATAATTTATATTCAATTATTTCAAAATAAAAATAACAGTATACTATTAATTAATTTTATTTATTGTTAAACTTAACCTTGCTAAGTAGAGATATCACAGATTAAAAATTCAATTAAGTATCTTGTCAAGTTTAAGTTGCAGTCTTTTAGGCTTTGGCGTGCTAATAACTGTAACAGATACTCTGTCTCCAAGCTTGGGCGTTTGGTTCCCTCCTAAATTGCTTTTGTGTATCAAACCATTGTCGCCGACACCACAATCAACGAAACACCCAAAAGGAACCACGTTCCGAACTACTCCTGAAATATAAATATTTTTCTTTATATTTAAAGTTTTACGTTTAATATACAAGATATTAGTAAAATTAAGAAATGTGTTATTTAGTTTTTTTAAATGTCGAAACCCACACAAAAGGTTCCAAAAGTTAGACCTCTAACGACAAGAACTAGCAAAAATTTAATTTATAATGAAATTTGATAATAAAATTAATAGATCAATGAAATAATTAAAAAATCCGGCAGATCACTAGTTTAGAAAGAATTGCATTTTGAAGCATTTCTATTCTTTAAATATTGATCAAATTTGTGTTTTCGTAATAAAATTTCCTTATTGTTTTTGGTATTTTGTTATATATTTAAATGAGCTCGAGAAATATTAAAATTATAATATTCTTTATAAGATTAAAATTTAAGAATCAAATTTAACTAAAAATAAAAGTGAACCAAGGATCTACCCCAGAGGAACATCATAACTGAGATTTACCTAAAGATAATGCGCCATATACGTTGCTACCATTCCTTCTGCTGACGATTTGAAAGATGTGATGATATAAGACCTCATACATGATCACGGATATGAGATATGGGATATGAGATTACGGAATAAGTAGAAACTAAATTTTCAGATGTTTTCACATTATCCACATTATAAAACAAAAATAAAATTTTACCTGTTAATGTTGTGCCTGCCGTTAGCTGCTCGGATGTCTGAACGGAGACAGAATACACGGGTCGACAGAAACTAATGACATTATCTTCGTAGGGTTTTTGTTTGAAGGCACTTAATATTAGCTCTAATGTGGATACATCTGTGTTAAGATCCTTGCTCGTTATGAGTAAATCAATGCCCGCTGTCTTTCTTTCGACTACTTCCGGGAAATGTGATTGGGTAAGTTCTTTAATATTGACGCCGATTTTCTTTGCAAATCTGAAAGATTTGATTCATTAGTATGGAGTCACAGTACGTACTGACACACAGAAAAATTTGTCATAATCAACACTTGAAGGACAAACTTCATTAATTATAAAGAACGCAAAGTACCTGGCTAGCTTCATTATGCAATACATAGTACGAACACCATTTTTTTTTTCAAAAATATATTGTTGTGTGCACTGTGCATAAAATTGCGACGACAGAATAAAAATAAATGAATACAAGAAGTGATATGTAACTTTAAAATACTGATGAATTCAAAAACCCTATATACAAGGTTATTTTTCATGGAGTAGCCAAATTTTAAACTTAAGTTCAAATATATAAATAATGATATAATGTTATTGCAGTTTTTGAAAATACTAGCAAATAAGGCTTCTACTTGTATTTGAAATTATCCCAAATGGAATGTGATTTATGGGCAACGACGTTTTTGCCTACCGATCGACTCTTACGTATGTGTAGTAAAATCAGTTAAAATAATGCATTACCACGCATTTTGAAATTAAAAGATAAGGACAGAATGTTTGAGATTTTTTTGATTAATTTTTCTTCACTGTTTGCCTATATTACTTATTCTGAACCTTCTCTGATAATTTGGCCGGTTATTGCAAAATAACCATGTATTTTCAAATAATATCATTATAAATAGAAAATTCTATTAATGACAGTCTTGGTTTTGATTTTTTTTATCCATCAGTCAACTCGAGTGAAGTCGCATCACAGCGCCCCATTCAATGCTACGTACGTACAACAGAGATTTAAGTATTGCTTATGAAATCAATCGCTTGTCATACTGAACACATACAAAACTGAAAAACTTTGTGTCTCAAAGCTGAGAAACAGCTTACAGCGATCGGACAATCGGGTTGCCAAGCATCTCGATTATGGTAAATCCGATGAGAGAGTGAGGGAGAATGTCCAGTCGTAGACTTTTACAATCTAACAAACAAAAACGAAGGAGAATTAGATAAGCTTATAAAATCGGCATTTCTGAGATTGTGTTTGACTTCATTTGTCAGCAGCTATCAAAGTTCCATACATTTTTACGACGCTTTCGAGATGAAAGTGATGAATTCTCTTGTATCCACTCTACATGGTAATGCTAGCCGCTATAGTAGTTTGGAGTAAGTATACTTTACAAATAATAAATTAAAAGTAAAAAAAAAACACTTTTTTTAAAACAAGCTTTTATTTAAATGCGCTAAAAAGAATAAAATAAACTTTTCCTTTAAAACTTTTACTATCAACTTATAACCTCATTACACAATTTATATGATATAAAAGCTTTAGGAATCCGCCTTATTGGATTTAGAGTGACGACACTTTATTTTTCGAGTTACACTAAACAAGCCCTTTCATTTTATACCCATATTGTAGGAGTGCATTAAAAATAACTAGTCTGCCATCTTGGGCGTTCCGCAATGTTGGATTTAGAATGACGTCACACAGCTAATCATGCATTGTCATCCAAACTTATCGTGTATACAAAATTTCAGCTCAATCGATTGAAGATATCTGCTTCAAAATTGAGTTGCAAGATTCCACCCGAACAAACATAGTTACATTGCAAGTTAAATAAAAGCTTGTAAAAACACTTACAATTTAGCGATACTGTAACTTTCCGGATGTATAATCGTTGCATCTAAAGGCTCAGTCCCAGTTAAAACTTTGAGAAACCCAGCGCATTGCTGATACGTAATCTTCCCGATTCCAGACACCTTGAGAATTTCTGCTCTGGTTGTAAATCCTCCGTTATCCTGCCGATAAGCTATAATCTTTTTAGCCCGTCCATCATTTAAACCTGAAATTCGTCTGAAATAAAAAAAGCAAAAGTATTTCAAATTATTATTTCATAAGCAGCATCATACCCCCCACTAGATGGCGTGACAGCCTGGTAAAAAAAGGAAGTCGATGGAAGCAAGAGGCTCAGTACCGTGCTTTTTAGCATTCCTTGGGAGAGGCCTATGTTCAGCAGTGGACTTGTGAAGGGCCGTAATGATGATGATGATGAAGCAGCATCATTATAGCAGGTATACTTTCTAAGGAAAATAAAGTAAATTAGGTAGTCCTAAGTTTAATATTACAGTTTATACTTTAATTAATCGTTTCTTGTCAGCCCGTCAACGTTATAACTAGACATGGGCCATCTCCCATAGTAAATAAGATTTTCTGCAAACGCTTGACAGGCGGTTTGGCCGTCACGATAACAGACGTCTGGCATCTTTGACGTTGTTCTCAATTTCCAGTCTACATATGATACATCTGACTATAAAATATTTAGAATAAAAGAAGTTTTATTGCTATCTCTCGGAAGCCAGAAATGTTTTTAATGTTTTGGTATTTTTATTAGCAGATATTTCGATCTAATATATTTTATGTACCAAAATCTTTATCATAGGATCTTCTCTCAATCGAAAACTTTCTTAAAAAATAAATAAATAAATTGTTTGTATAACAAGAAAGCCCAGGATTTTAGTTTATAAAAAATAATTAAGTTGTGTTTCGCCAGCAACGCAACATCAGGAAATAGCATTTAAAAAAGACAAGATTAGGGGCTTTTTAGGTGCTAATTAGGTGCCAAGTTTAAAACTTAGGTGCTCTAAAATTTTCATCGCAACGAACTGTTGAACTTTGCGTTGCTATCAAAACGTACCGCTAGCAACGCAGTGACGATAATAGATATACGATAAATATTAATAGCAAGGAATTAAGGACTAATTAAGTGCTACAAGTATAGGCAATGACAAGGCGCCCCTAATAAAAATAAAGACTGCCCCTAATAAAAATAAAGTCGTAATTCAAAACAAAGCAGATGCAAAAATCAGGTTTTCTGAAAATCAGACAGACACAGCTAAATAATATCCGCTTATACTTAAGGGGCCACTCCATGCGAACGACCTTGAGCATTTGATCGGCGCGCCGCTCGCTACAATATATTATTGCGTAAGAAATATTTAAGACGCCACCTATTGTACGAACGTAGTATTATTTTTTCACCATCAATAAACTATTTTATGGAAATACACACAGCGTACAAAATAAATGTATTTTAATTTTTTTATTCGGTATATATTAGTTGCATTATATTAGAATTATGTATTTTCATATATTATCTAATTATGAAATTTTATAATTAATTATATATTAAAAATGAAGCATTGAAAATTGTAAGTTTAAAAGATACCTATTCACTATAGGTAAATAAATAGATAGCTCGGCTTTTGTACAGATATTTGGTGCAATAAAAAATAAATAAATAAATAGGATGTTTCGCAGATGTGTTTTTGATTATTGTTAATTTTTACGTGTCACGTATTGAAAAGTAACATACCTACCTACTAATTTTTGAACTGAGCACCTTGTAACTTAGCCTGCTTATTACTTATGCTGGCAGACATTATCCTCACCCCAATGATTGATGAGGATGAAAATCAATTTTATTTCTACATACGTAATTATATTTATTTATACATAAGGGTAACTTTAATAAAGGTAATACAAAAATCAACAAGAAGTATAAGGGTTCAATCTTTCAATTTCAATTGTGAAGAAACGTTACCCCCACACTAGGATTTTCTCCTGTGTCGTGGAGGCAGTTTACAAACATAAATTGCACAAAGACAAACATCCAGACCCGTAACAATTATTTGTAGGCCATACAAATACTTGTTCCGTGCGGGATTCGATCCCGCGGCCCCCAACGCAACAACTGATTGCTAAGCCACTGCGCCACGGAGCCGTCGCCGGGTTATAGCTAAAGTGACCATACGTCCCGTTTTGAACGAGACTGTCCCTTTTCTCGGTCACCTGTCCCATTGTCCCCAAACAAAGCTCCGGGACACAAAATTGTCCCGTAACTCGTTGGATGGAAGTATTCAAAGTCAACAATCTTCAACATAATTTTTTTTAATCGAATATGTTTTATGTCTCCCTGGTACAAATGCTCCAGTAGAAAGAGTATTTTTTTATTTTGAATAAATTGTGGACGTCTGAAAGAAACACTTACGGTTCCAGTTCTAAAGGCGCTGTTGTTAACAAAGGTAACAATAAAAAAACTTGTGCAGAATTTTATTCTTATTTAAAATCGTCACCAACTTTATTAAAGCAAATTTAATCCACTGACAAATGTAATTAATAATTTAAAAAAATATGTTGCATTTAATAATTACCGTCTATACCGAATATAATTTTATATTGAACACTAATTGTATAAAGTTATAGTTTTTAGAGTATAAATAAACCCATGTCCTGTTTTGAGTTAAAAAATAAATGGTCAGTTTAGTTTTTTTTTAGTTAAATTTAGTTTTAAAAATTTTTAGTTTATAGTAAAAAGTAGGTATATTAATACCTACTTAGACACTTTTTACCGAATTAGGGTGGATGCCCCTAATACCAGTCATGCCCATAATTCCAGTCTTTTCGCCTTTTTACTCCATAAATAAGATTTCTAGTAGTCTTAACTACAAATATTGTCATCTAAAAATTTTTTTGTACCTAGAGGAAAGTATATTTATTCAAATATTACCTTAGAGATTATATTAATATTCATTCCTTTAAAAAAAAATTGGATATAGCTTTTATGGAATCAAGATTATGTAGAAATATAATGTGTTTTTTATTTGTTGATATATCTTTTAAATAAAAAGTAGATAGCTCCTAAAAACCGCACAAATAACGACTAGCGCGACATTTTGCTCAACCTGCGCCTTAAATCTAAATTCTAATTTTAGAATTATGTAAAACAGTTTTGTAATATTTTTTATCAACGATAAAATAAAAACAAGATTTGAGAACTTTCTTTATCTAATATACAGCCGATAATAATAAATTCGACGTGGTAGATCCGAGCTGCAGCCACATTATGGTTGCAGCACGAATGGGTCGGCTCGACCGGGGAAGGACCACGCTCTCACAGAATGCCAGCGTAAAATAGCAGCTTAATGTTGTAGTGTTTCCTATGGTGAGTGTAGAGAACCGGAGACCCTTTTTACTGGAAACAAGGCATTCCATCTTAGTCCCCAGGGGTGACAACGCATGTGCATTTGCTTAAAAAGAGTACAGTTTTATCTTCACGTATAAATATATAAATGTCAAATATATATCTGACGTTTGGGGCCGTGGCCACACCATTACAGCATCGTGAGCCAAATGCCTTTTCCTTGCTTCAGAACAATGTATTTGTGTATATAGTTTTCTTTTCTACTTTGTTATTTTAAATTCTTTGTACATTGTATTGTGTATGACAAGTAAATCATTCATTTATTCATTCATGAGCATTCCAGACAGATAATAGCAAGCTATTCTTGAATAGTGATACCTCGGCCCTCATCCGAGTTCTCCGGAGGAGTTTACGATTCCACATTTCTGCCTTACTTTGCACTATTCCAACTACCCACTACCCCATATCGGCCCGTGGGTGTCATAAAAGGTGACAGAGGAAAACTAGCCAAAATCAGCAGTGTCATCCTAAAAACCGTGATTGCCAACCTGTATCCCAAGTGTGGCAACTACGGCAATTTTCGTCCTCACTAAGCAATCTATGAGGAGGCTACAAGGCAGTGGACATTGACTATTGGCTTCATTTGGTCGGCCAGCTGGAGTTGGGAGCTAGAGCTTCATGCTTGAAGGATCATAATTATGATGACGATGATAACCCTTGATGTTTTATGGGTGAAAATGTAAAATTTCATAATAGCGGGGGATCTCAATCCGTCGAGACATGATAACGGTAAGCATCCCGAGTCTCGGCCCAATAGCTCATATCCCAATCCATCAAACATCCTCATATGGATGCGGAAAAATCAAGTGCACTACCTTTCTAACCTCTGGTTCACAGTCACACACAGTCACTTTACAGTAAAATTATCTAAAGGGTCTCTGCATGTGTACTCATGTATGCTTATATAACCAGACCCCATCATACCCAGATCATCAAAGATACATAATATTATTATAGCCTACCTCAACATAGCCTGTGATGCTGTATTAATATCCACACCTACTAAACTAACTACTTTCTCTACGGTTGCGTCCAATGCAGTTTCCAACATTTTCGGTGGGATATCATGTTGGTATAGACCAACTCCTAAATTTTTAGGTTCCACCTAAAATAGACAAAAACGAGGTTAGTAATGTATTTGCAAACTGGACATCAGGAATAAAGTAATAGAATAGCCTATTATTATACTGCTAAGCATAAAACCTCCTCTCATTTCTGAAAGCGTTTTAGACCAGAGAAGAATTCGCCACTGCTTATCACATGACCTCTAAATACACACAAACACAAACACTCACGCCTGTCACCCAGAGGGGTAGACAGAGACTACGGACTTCCATTTGGCGCGATCCTGACACACCTCTCTCGCCTCCTTTACATCCATATATCTACGCATACACGCTCGTCGGTTAAGGGTACTCCTAATCTGGCCCATTTTTAATGTATCGCCGATTTGGTCGATAAACCTTCGTCTAGGGTGTCCCTTCCCGACCCTGCCGTTCACTTCTGCAACATAAATTTGCTTTGTCACTCTTTTCTCGTTCATTCTTTCTACATGACAAAACCACCGAAGCATTCCTTTCTTAATCCTTGTCACAACGTCATCTTGCACACCACACTTTTCTCTTATCAAATTATTTCTCACCCTGTCATTCAGATTCAGCCCTAGCATACTCCTTAAGGAACGCATTTCTACAGCATTTATTCTACTCTCATGCTTTTTCTGCTAGACCTAACTTTCACTACCATACATTAAAGTAGGGACTAACACAGCATTATGAATTGCCATACGTGCCTTATTTGACACATTCTGACTCCTCATAATAGCGTGTAGAGCCCCATTCATTCTATTTCCTGCGTTCACCCGTCGTTCTGTATCCTTATCATATCTAACATCCCTGCTAAATATACATCGCAAATATACAAACTCATCCACTTGCTCAATCAACTCTCCTTCTATTCTTATTTCACATAACATTTTACTTTCTTCTCTTTCCAAAACCATCACTTTCGTCTTACTTGCGTTCACTTTCATACCCCTTTCTTTCAATAACCAGTTCATTAAAGTAAGCATAATTTGCAATTCGGCCGCCGACGATGCAAATATGACTTGATCATCGGCGTACAAAAGGCATTTGACGGTTACCTCATCCATTCTCAACCCACATTCTTCTAGGTTAAACAACCACGGAGAAGCCACACATCCATGTCTGACACCTTTATGAATGCCAAACCAGTCCGAGTAGACCCCGTTGATCCTGACACAAGCACTAGAGTCCCTATAAAGAGACCTTAATGCCTATATCAAGCCAGCGTTCAACCCAAATGAGTTTAGTATTTGCCATAACACATTCCTGTCCATTCTGTCATAAGCCTTTTCCAAGCCCATGAACGCACAAAAAACTTTGTGGTTTTTGGCCAAAAACTTCTCCGTAATCATGCGCATGGAAAAGACTTGATTCGTACACCCCATCCCCTTTCTAAATCCAGCTTGCACATCCCAAATTTTTCCATCAGTTTCTTCCATAACTCTTTCAATTAACACCTTAGCATACAGTTTACCCACAATGCTAAGCAAGCTGATACCACGGTAGTTTTTACAGTCCTGCTGCGAGCCCTTTCCCTTATATATTGGGACTATAACGGCTTTGCACCAGTCTTCCGGTACCGGCTTCAGTTCCAAACACAAATTAAACAAGGCACACCAGGCCTGCAACCACACCCTCTCCAGCCCTTAGCATTTCGAGTGATATTCTATCATATCCGGCTGCCTTACCTGCTTTCATGCTTTTCATTGCTTTCATTATTTCTACTACATTTATCTCGCTACCTCTCTCCACTTCTTCCGGAATTACTATTTCACTTACTTCAGACGACTCTTCACTCTTAAACACGCTTTCAAAGCATTTCTTCCATCTCTTTAAATTCGAAACCTCATCATTCAGCATGCAGCCATTCTCGTCTCGTATAGCATTCATTCTAGGCTGTTTTGAATTTCCCCTGGAAGTTCTTACGAGCTTCCAGAACATTTTAATATTTGCCTGGAAGTTATCAGATATCCTTCTATCATTTTTATCTATCCTTTCTTGCTTTTTCCTTTCAACAACTTCTTTTACTCTCTTATTTATACGTCTAAAGTCTGCCTTTTTTCTTTCAATCTCATCATTCATACCGCCAGAATTATCAGCTTTAGTTGCTAGTAAATCTAGCCATGCTCTCTTCTTTGCTTCAACTTCCATCCGTACCTCATCATCCCACCACAACGTATTACTTTTCCTTTCATTCGTTCTCTTACTTACACCACATACTTCGGTGGCTGCATCCACCAAAACTTTCTTAATATTATTCCATACATTCTTCGAGTCTAAATCATTCATACATAATTCATTCAACCCACTTATATTTTCCCTCAGTCTGCATTTATATTTCTCTTTCACACCTTCATCTTGTAACCTCTCTATTCTTATACGCTGTAATGCAGTGGTAGACACAGATATCCGATGCCGCCAACGCCTGAATAGACCATTAATTCGGCACAAGACCAAGTAATGATCCTTTCCTACGTTGGATCCCCAGTAAACCCTTGTATCTACTACTGCGCTCCTCATTCTTTCATCCACAATTATGAAATCTATCATACTTCTATCATCCCCCTTTCCTATGTATACATGTGAATCATCTTACCTCTAAATATTTATTTAATATCTTACAAAGGGTGAAATTGAATTCATTGGCATCCATTTAAACTATAATTATACTCATATTAAGGAATATTTTAAAGTAAATTAAATTAATAACAACGGAGGAAATAAGTAACAACAATAAAAGTAAAAAAAAAATGAGCAAAGTACGAAAACCTCGGGAACCCTGGTGAGTGTTGCTCGTAGGCACTTACGTCACTGTTTAATTAATGCCGAATACATGAGACATTGCAGCAATCAGGAAGTCACCTACCATACAGCACCGCCTGCTAAGCAAATGACAGCACGCCTTTAAAGACGTAACTCAAATTATTTACGTGACTTAAGAATATTCAACAAAGTGCTTAATTATTAAGACAGCCGTAGTAGTTAAGTTAGTTTGTAAGTTAGGTAGTCTAGTATATTCCTGTGAATTCACATTGTCACAGTAGTTAACCTGTAAGTTAGAAAATAATAAGACGCTGCTACCCATTTCCTATTTAAATTTTCCTCTATCGCCTCTTACAACACCCGCAGGATGATATGGGGTAGCGGATTTATTTTCACCGCCAATACACGGCTAAAAACTTTAGATTTTCGTTATTTTATGACTAAGTAGGTTGTTTAATGAGTAAGTTATTAGTTCAAAGGGATACCAATGTATGTATGCTACTTCACCCCAAGTTCCCACAACAGGTTTTGCTTCAACGCCGAGCATGTGGTAAGTCAGCACTATTTGTTTGGTGCTAGTAAGGATCGGACTAGCGTTTGCTCACGTACTATGTACTTTTAGGCTGAACACTATAAATAACATGAAATAGGAAAGCTTTAAAAATAATACATACTTTAATCAACTCTGCCAAAGGATCCAAAACTCTCCTTGCAATAGATAAGGCTGAAATCAGATTGGGATCCATATCTGGATGTTCCTGAAAATTAAATAATTAATAGAATCAGACGATACTTTGCATAAGTCCATTATATTAAAGTTGGTAAAAAATTAATAGCATAAACTAACCAAACTACTTCTTAAGTACAAATACAGAATTATAAAATCTATAATTTATTTTTTGCATAAGCAGTTATATCCGACAAAAATACTTCTTGTTCTCCTCATACCTTTTGAGCTTCCTTGCTCACGGAGTAAATGGAAGCACCTTGTTCTGGTACAATAATAACTGGAATGTTCTCAGATATATAGTGACTTTTTAGCCATGATTCTGTTTCGCGGCATGCTGTGCCATTTCCCAAGCCAATTAGGTCAACTCTAAAAGAAAATTATCATAAAAGTAAGGAATCATTTATAGAACAGTCTTAACATCCCAACGTTGAGAATAGGCCTTTCATTTTTTTAAACAATATGGGCCAAAAATTTACCATCCAAAAAACATTTACATAAAACATTGCTATTCATAATTTATTGGAAGAGTCTGTGAAAGAAAACACATGGAAACTTTCAAAGGTTTTTATTTAGCGTCTTTGTTTTGGTACGATAAAAAAATAATTTCACTTAATAAATGCTTATAATCGTCGATTATACGCTTACTTATCTTTAATGTGTCTCTTTCTATTGTCATTCAGTGAAAAGAGAGAGGGAGTGGGAGAGAGAGGGAGCGCATTTCAATTATTTTCATGAGTAAAAATAAGTCAATGTTTTAGTTCTCTCTTTCGAAACGATGTACTGGGCTTGCTTGTTTTGTGTTATATTATTGTAATTTCCCATTAAGTGACACTCTGGTCTTACGAACCAAAAGCCAAGGATAAAAATAAAAAAAATACAAAAAGAAATAACCTGTACTTTGATAAAATGGCTCTGAGCTGTTTAGCCGCATTATCATTTTCATTATGTCGACGTAAGTCTGGATAAATGGTGCAGGCATCTAATTTCTCGCCATTTGCATTAATAATACCCACCTGTAAAATGTAATAGTAGTAACTATTACTTATTTATTTCTTAATGCTGATATTTTTCTTCGATATAACTAAGAATACGAAACATATAAAGAAAATGATATCAATAAATCTAGGAACCATTGTTTCAAATCTCTATAATCATTCAATGAGGCGCTTGAGTGTGATGTGTGTACGTCATATGTTTGCTTGAAGCATGCAAATAGTACCACTACTCTATAATCAACCTAATATAAAGGTTTAAGTAGATGACATGTCGTTGGGATTGGAGCTGACAGTAATAAAATAAAAATAATAATGCATTTAAACTACCTTACAGCCGGCCTTGAAGCCTGGATCCAATCCTGCTATCGTTCTGTTTTTGACAGGCTCAGTCAACAAGTACTTTTCTAAATTTGCTGTAAACGTCTTAACCGCCTCCTTCTGAGCAGCAGCAGTGAGTTCAGACCTTACTTGTCTAGACAACCACGGTTTGATGAGTCTGTTATATGCATCATTTAACCCTTTCCTAACCCAATACGAACTTTTCCACAGTGTTAAACAATACCTAAAATAGATACATAACAAAATTTTAATGACGTTTTGTTTAATAAATGGATTATTTTACTTAGTATTCATCTGAGTCGTGGTAGCTCAAATGGTTAGCGCTCACTCTAAGTTTCACAGTACGCGAGCAACCCGGGTTTGATCCCCGTCGGCACCAATGAAATTGTTCATTGCAATTTTAAGTGCTGATTTACCACGTCCTTGATGGTGAAGGAAAACATCGTGAGGAAACCTGCATGTCTGAGAAATAAGAAAACAATAATAATTCGAAGACATGTTGTGTAGTTCGCCAACACGCATTGGGGCAGCGCGGCGGATACTTCCATGCCTTAAAACCCTCTCAGCAATGAGAGGAGGCCCGTGTTCAGCAGTGGGACATATATAGGCTGTAACTTTAACTTTTCAACTTTATGTTCATTCTACTTGCCTCTCAAGTCGGTTGTAAAACCAATCTGGAATTATTACTTTAACCGACAGTACTTTTTCGTCTTCCCCTCTATTGATTGCCAAAGTTTGATATGATTTAACAAAATGCATCGGGCATTTCCAGTCAAAGTATATTTTATATGTTTCCGGATCTGATTTACTATCATATTTTTTATTCTCTTCTTCCATTTTTCCCTTTGTTGAACTCTTTGTCTGATTACTTTGTATTGTAAATCTTGTTTGTTCTTTCCTGCAAAATATATTGTAGTTACTTTTTCGACTCTAATCATAATTATAATAAAATTAATCATATGTAAATTAAAAATATATTTTTACTATATACTATATGGTCCGACTGTTTTCTTTTTTTTGCCTAGGTAGGTATAGCAGTAATGACACTGCTGTGTGTCTCCAATCTAAAGTGAATAGAGAAGCAGTTTAATTACAGGTTGTGAGGCATTTTAAGCTGAGAACGCATCTGTATTTTACGTGGTCATCACGCTGCAGCTATATCATGACTGCAGCACAATTGAGTCTGCTTGACCAGTGTAGGACCACGCTCACACACAACACCAGCAGTAAAACAGCAGAATAATGCTAATTCGTATGGCAAGTGTAGAGAACCGGAGACCCTTTTTACTGGTAATGGGGCATCTTAGTCCTGTGGGGTGACAGCGCATCTGCATTTTGAATCTTAAACGAGGATAGTTGCATATGTCTATGGGCCACAATATCCGTTTACCCTCAAGGGGACTGTTGTCACTCGGCTTAATCCATAAAACAGCCTTCTAAAATTGGTTGCAAACATCCATGAGCTGCAGTAGCTACTTATCATAAGGTAGACTGTAAGTTTGTTAGTGACTTTAATTTTAATAAAAAAAATACAGTAATTAAAGATAGAAAACTAATGCAACAAAGCAAAAACGAAACAAAACTAAACAGACAAAATATTATAATGGTAGTAGTTGAGGGAATACATGTTCAAAATATTTTCATGTTTAGCAATTTTGGTTTCTTCATGATTTTTTTTCACAAATCCCCTTTACATCCGAAAAGAAGAACAATATTGTGGTTGGAAGTGGTGCTAAACAAGCCCAAGGAAATTTGTCTTTCTTCTGTCATGTCCAAATAAAGGTTGGGTCTAGCATAATGGCATTTTATTTTTGAATACTTGTGTGACCATGGACATTTGAGTTGTTACGGGTAATATTTGATCTAGTTGCCAAGCAAGACACCTGAAGTTAGCAGCCGCAGTAAAATAGCTGCTTAACGCTGCTGTGTTTCGTATGGTGATTGTAGATTATAAATAATACTTATTGCAAGTCACTCTTTTGTTTAATTAACTGAACCGGAGACCCTTTTTACTGTAAAAGAGGCATTCCATCTTAGTCGTCAAAGCTGACAATGCATCTGCATTTTGATTCGGAAACGAGGATAGATGTAGATATCTATGGGCCACAGCAACCACTTACCATCAGGTGGACTGTGTGCTTATTTGTCACCCTATTACTATAAAAAAAAAAATAAGTAAGATTCTGCTGCCCATCTCCTGTTTCAATTTTCCTGTCGTGAAGTGTGTTACCCCTCCACAGGAGGATATGAGGTAGTAGCTTCTCTTACGTCACCACTACATTGCCGTAAACTATAGTCACAACAATCATTTATCAGGACCCCTACAGGACGAAATGGGGTAATAGATTTTCTCACCACAAAGCAAAAAGAAAAGCAAATTTAAAAGTATGCATTACTAATGTGCTAAAACATACATTACTAAAATTATTACTGCCTTAAGTTAATTTCTTGAAAAACACAGAGACTACATTAAATAAGAATTAAATGATGCTTACAAACTTCTCATTTCAGTCAATACTCTGGTATCCTTGTAAATAATATCAGCTACTATATGAGTAACATGAGATTCCACCTTCTCAAAAGTAGATAATTCCTCATTATCATTGCAAAGCCTACTCAAGTCAATTTGCTCTCCATTAAGAGATCTGACTGCAAATGGTTCAATGCCCAGCTTGCGAGCTCTTTCAGCTAATGATAATGAATTGGACTTAAGTGGCGCATACTGTAACAGACAAAAAAATTACAAAAGAATGAAGGTGCACATAATAAAATAAACCTACATTTAATCCCGGATAAAATGATAAATTTGAAAATACAGGGCACAGTTGGAATAAAGTTAAAAACCATTTTTTTTTATAGGATAAGGGTGACAAATGAGCACACAGTCCATCTGATGGTAAGTGGTTGCTGTGGCCCATAGACATCTGCATCTAACATCCAATATGAATCAAAATGCAGATGCATTGTCACCCGTGAGGACTAAGATGGAATGTCTCTTTTCCAGTAAAAATGGACTCCGGTTCTCTACACTCTCTATACGAAACACAGCAGCATTATACTGCTATTTTACGCTGGTATTCTGTGAGAGCGTGGTCCTTCCCTGGTCGAGCCGACCCATTCGTGCTACAACTATACCAGTAATATAGCTGCAGCATGGCTCTGCCATGTAGAAGCTGATTCACTATTAAAGCTGTGGTAGCTCAGGGGCTTAACTGTAAATTTACAAGGCCCTAATTTGAAGTGCTGATTTACCATGTGCTTGTTGGTGAAGGAAAATATAATAATAATCACACTCTCCAATACCAGCGTAAAATAACAGCATGTTGTTGTCTTGTATGGCAGATGTAGATTACCCATAGACCCTATTTACTGGTAAAGAGGACATTACCTCGGGGGTGACAACGCATCGGCATTTTGATTCTTAATCACAAATATAGATGTAGTGTATATGGAGCACAGGATTCACTTAGCATCAGGTGGACTGCGTGCTGATCTCGCCCACAGTAAAAGCAAATCACCGTCACTTCACTTTCGATCTCAGTCAGAGATTTACCGAAACACCTGTGTCCAGTAATATAGGTACCTGTGAGTCTTCCACACCACGCATCTAGGCTTTCAAGACCGGTAGAATAGCTCCGATTACACACTTACGTGTATAACACTCGTCATGGAGCCACCTTCATAAGCTATGTTATCACATACTAACACTCCCTCTGTTAAATACTCTCCCGAGCTCTTTGTTTGTATTATTACATTGTTTCATGGGGAGGATGCACCATGAAAAATATCTATCTCCATTTCCAAAAACACATCAGAGAACCTCCTCGAGTCTATTACTACGCAGAGACCATGGCAGGAAAAAGAGTTATTTACTGATGGTATTTTTGGTTTCAATTACCATAAATTATTATAAATTGCATATAACATTTATAATAACACCACTGTGAACGTACATCGGGACATTTTATGTAAGAAGACAATTCAAATTATAATTAATAAATTTTATGATAATGACGGTATTCATTATATAAATTATGATATCATTGTATAAAAGTTTTATAGTTAGTCGTTATATTAAATTTTATAGTAAGTTTTACAGTTAGTAGGAAGGGGCCATTCATTAATTACATAAGGGTCATGAGGAGGAGGAGGGTTAAAATATCTCTACTCTATCTTGGGGCATTAATACGTAATATTGTCAAAGTAATAGTGTAAAGTCGAAATTCAATATTAGAAATCTAGTACCTGCCACAGGCTGCATGAGAACTACGCCAACAGCAGCCTTAGAAGCGATGCTGGAGCTAACTCCGCTTCATCTACATATACAACAAGAAGCGACTTTAGCTGCCATCAGACTCAAGACCCTAAATCTTTGGAGTAAGAATAGTGTCCCTCATACAGGCATAATTGATAGAATTCACTCAAAAATTCCTATCCTACAAGCCAATTACGATAGGATTCCTAAACAATTTGTTTTCGATAAGAAATACAAGATACAGTTAAATGAAAACAGCCAGCCGGAAGGATTAAGCCCAAAAGAGCTTAGAATTTTCACCGATGGTTCTAAAACAAATGAAGGTGTAGGTTCTGGAGCTTTCTCTGAAGACCTCAATATTCACATATGCACACCGCTGGGTACCTATAACACGGTCTTTCAGGCGGAATGTATGGGTATCATTCAAGCGGCCATAGCAATAGATGCTAGGAAGGTTAATGACTTCCCCATCAGAATACTGACCGACAGTAGGGCGGTACTCCAAGCCCTGAGATGCAATGTGGTGAACTCGGGACTAATATATGAATGCCATCAACGATTAAATGAGGTATGTAAAAACAACAATGTGACCCTGCAATGGATAAAGGGACACAGTGGATCCAGAGGCAACGATGCAGCAGACGAACTGGCTAGAAGAGGATCGGCTTTGGCCACTATAGGGCCGGAACCAATCATACCAATCCCCTTTGGTAACGTTTGTTCACTGGTACGTAGACACTTCACTAATCAACACGCTCAGCTTTGGAAAAATCTAGTAGACTGTAGACAAGCTAGGGATGCCCTGCCTGAAATTAACAGTCGCTTAACAAAAGTTTTAATGAGACTGAACAAGCCGCAGATTAGGATAGTAACAAGTGCTATCACAGGACACGGCACCTTTAACAAACATTTATTTACTATAGGTGTTACAGATAGTCCCCTGTGCAGGGCATGTATGGGGGAGGAAGAAACGGCGGCCCACGTGCTACTGAAATGTCCGGAGGTCGCTACATACAGGGCTAAACATCTCGGCACGCCGGGATCACTCCCCAAAGTTGCATGCAACATCAAGGGCCTGTTGAGCTTCTTCGGAGAGATCTCATGGCTCGAATAATCACATTATTCCTGCCCACACGCAAAATACGCGCATAGACGTGGAGTTGCGGAAAACAGCCCGTCGTAAACTAAACTAAACTAAACTAAATCTAGTACCATTTTGGATGCCGAAAGGTTTTCTTTATTTTAACAAACACTTCTATTAACATCGTATTTAAAAAAATTGTTAATCAATATTTTAAAATCTTAAATGTGTTCATTTTCATCTATTTTAAATGTAATAAAGAGTAATAATAGTACATTCTTCATTTAAATAACAATTATATAATCTTATATAAGAAGAGGGAGAGTTCGAGAAATCTTATGTACTCTTACAGGGGGATAGGAGGGGTCAAAAATTACCAAAATCATCCTTAACTAATTAATGAATGACCTAAAGATTTGTATAGCAATAGTTGTCACTTGATACACTGGTGTGTTCAAGTAAATAAAAAACATTGTGTTAGGCAGAGAAGCACATTTTTTAGTTAGCCATAGACTGCATGGCCTTGTGCTGTCACATGAAAACTAATTCCAGTATTTTTTTTCATGCAATTAATGTTGATTTATACACCGCTTCACTACACCAGAAGGCATTCATTAATATCACAAGTACGAAAAAATTGTAAAATAATAAAATCAACCACTACAATGTCTGCTACAGACAAAATAAGCTTGTTTGCAGTGAAATTGATAAACCACACCTATCACAGAGTAATTTCTGTTGTGTTATTTATTGGAGCTAAGAATGCTTCATGTTTTATTTGTGTTCACTGTTTATATGTTCACAAAAAATCAAAGAAAAATTAAACAAATTAAGAAGAGCAAATGGCAATTTCCACTTCATGATGTTTTATTTGATGCAGAAACAAATAAACAAGGAGGTTCCAAGCCCTGATTAACCTTTAGGCAAAAAGAAGCCCTACCACCTAGTGTTTACATAATGCTTTAATTTCAAAAAAAACTTTTTACTATCATTTAAATCTACCAGTAAATGTGCAATATTAACTACATACCACAAACTCAAGCTCAGACAAGTTACGGGAGTTCAAAATACTCTGCTCTATTTCAGGAGTCAACTTCTTTGATTTTTTCAATGTTTCTATCACAGACTTTACTTTCTTTGAAAACTGTATCACCTTTTGATAACTCTCATATAATTCTTGAAGTCTACAAAAAATTAAAATAAACAGGAATTCTGTGTGATTATAAAATATTCTTTTATATCTAATTCTGGAATCAGAAACTTAGAAACAGATTTGCATACAGACACATTGCAATAATTATGTAAAGCAGAATCTTTGAAAGTATTTTGTATGTTATATTATCTGGTATCCAGTGTGTTGCTGCCGCTAAAAAAATATTTGTGAAAATATCATTTTAAATTTGGAAGGGTTGTGTTGTTTAATTAAGGATGATAATATATTCATTGAAATTTAATGATATATTACTTTCAAATAAATTTGTCAGTACAAACTGTACTCACAGTACTCAAATAATTGCATTATTCCTGCCCACACGCAAAATACGCGCTTAGACGTGGAATTGCGGAAAACAGCCTATCGTAAACTAAACTAAAGTACGCACACCTCCTATTGTAAGCTAATTGTACTATGCCTATAACGTTCACGCAAGTGCAAGCAATAAGTTAACAAAGTTTTACAGCAATCTGATGAATGGTATGGCAGCGCATAAAATATGAACAAACAAATATAAATTTTAGCAGCGATGGAGCGAATTTTCCGGATGATTGGCGATCCGCAGTCATTGTGCCTTTATATAAAGGTAAAGGTTCACATTTTGACTGCGGGTGCTATCGGGCGATCAGCTTGACCAGTTTAGCAAGTAAAGTTTACTCGAAGGTTTTGACACATAGGATACAAGAGAAATCGGAAAGATTTCTATGGGAGGCACAATGCGGATTTAGACCTGGAAGAGGATGCACGGATCAAATGTTTTCTCTCCGCATGATCACGGAGAAGCTTCTGGCTGCTAACCAGAAGATTTTCTGTGCTTTTGTGGATCTTGAGAAAGCATTTGATAAGGTTGTAAGGAAGAAAATGTGGGAACTGTTGCCGGGGTATGGTGTGGATGGTCGATTGCTAAGGGCTGTGCAGTATCTTTACTGTGACTGTAAAGCCTGTGTGCGGGTAGGGCATGACCTGTCACCCATGTTTAACGTCCAAACGGGCGTAAAGCAGGGTTGTGTCATGTCTTCCTGGCTGTTCATACTGTATCTCGACAGCTGTTTACAGAAGCTGAATGATAGTTGTTTGGGTGTGAAATTGGGTGACATTAAAGTAAATTGTCTGCTGTATGCTGATGATGCAGTGCTTATTGCACCATCAGAGACAGAACTGCAGGCATTAGTCACATGTATGAAAGAGGAATGTGAAATTAAAGGTCTCCGTTTGAATGCTAATAAAACTAAGGTTCTGGTATTTGAAAGGGACGAAGAGAGAACGAAGTGTGAAATATGGGTAAATCAGGAATGTCTAGAACAGGTAAATGAAATTGTATACTTGGGGAGTGCTTTTAGCCGGGATGGAAGATGTGATTTAGATGTGGACAGGCGTGTCGCTGCCGGGAACAAAGTCAATGGTGCCCTGACTGCATTAGTCAAAAGGCAAGGCGTAGCGAAGAGTGCACGCCTTGCAATACATAACGCAGTGTTGGTACCGACTTTGTTATATGGCAGCGAAACCTGGGTATGCCAGAAGAAGCATAAAAGTAAGTTGAATGCAGTGGAGATGCGATCTCTTCGTAAAATGTGCGGCGTTACCATGGCCGACCGAAAGCGAAACGAAGAGATTCGCAATATGGCAGGTTTGAAAGATGACCTTATCACAAAAATTGATAAGGGCGTGCTTCGGTGATTTGGGCACGTTGAGCGAATGAGTGAAGACCGAATGGTGAAGAAAATATATAGCGCGAATGTTAATATTAAAAGGTGTCGAGGTAGACCGAGACTAACTTTCGAAGACCATGTGAGCAAATTGCTCGAAGAGGGTAGAGTCAAAAGCACTCGGATACCTAGACGTACATGCATGAAGAAGATAATGAATCTGAAAGAAGCGAAAGAGGTTTGTAAGGATCGTGACACTTGGCGATCTGTTCTCTCTGGCTACCCCGTCAGGGATTGTGCGTGAAGATAAGTATAAATATAAATTTTTATATACTACATTGCAGCACATCTCTACTATATCTAGTGTAGACATGGAACGAGTAGTGATTCAATGAGTACTCGGCCTAGATTGGGCCGAGTAATCGGCTTTAAAAAAATGAGGTAGCGGACGGCGTGCAGTTATTTCCCTTACAAACTAGACCCAACACCCAAAAACGGCCGAAAAACTAGTGTTTTTACATCACAATCTTCCTCTCTTAAATTTTAAATATTAGTAATAATAATTTCTATTATAGATTCTTATGTACGTTCTAAATATTTCTGCTGCTTCTCATGTTCCTGATGTTTTAATGTGTCTAATATAATAATAATGATGAAAACTGGCTTTTTGTCTTTATTTTTCTCTGGAATATAATTAAGACCGAGTACTCGGTACTCGGACGTTAATAGTCAGTGCTTAGCCAAACCCTAAAAAAAGGCCGAATCCACCTAGTACCAAATCCAAACCGAGTACTCGTCTCATGTCTAATCTAGTGTATGTTATCATTACTATTAGTATTTAACATTAGTATGATTTTGAATTTTTTTTATTGGGAGGAAACTACAAATTTACTCTTTTTGTCAATATGTATTCCATAGAGCAAATGTCACAGAAATATTGATGTTCAAATATTTTAATCATAAACATATGATCAATTGCATCGGGAACTGATTATTTTGTCTGAAACCTGGATTAATTCAAAAATAAATTTCTTCAGGATGTAATTAACCATCCCTAATGGTAATTTAGCTTTTTTCTGCTTCAACTTACTAGATAAGTAATTAACACTATATTGTGTAACAATAAATAGAAAAAAAAGAGAAACTACAAAATCAATATTTTTGTGTTGCCACAAATATATAGATTTTGACTGACTGTATTATAGGTATAGTTTTTAAAAAAGGATTTCTATGTGGAGCATATTTGATTTATAAACTTAAAATACAATCATATTCTCCAGCCAGTTTTCAGTCTATAAATACATTATTTGAAATTTATAAGGTACCGATCAGGTTTCAAGTAATCCACTACGTTTTTACGATATCTGGCTATAAATGGTAGAGTACAGCCTTCATTTAGCAAATTAATAAATTTCTGCGCCAAATCTTGAGGGATTTTTTCTTCAAATGACAAAATCTCCGCTTCATTACAATATTTATTGTCATCATTTTGCAGCTGTGATTCAACATCTGTATTTTTCATGGATTCCTCTTCATCGTCGGTTTTTATTTTTTTTCTCACTCTCTTTATTTTCACTGTCTCACTGTCTTTCTTATTTTTTGAAGACTTTTCAATATTCTCAGTTTTTTTTACTCTAGTTCTTTTCAAAACTTTATCTACTTCAGTGTCTTGCAACTTTCTTTTAATTGGCACTCGTTTAGGACAATCCATTTTATTTAGGATATTTTTATAGCTAAAAACCACACAATTCAATGCACGTAAAATTATAAATAAGGAACATTCATTTGCTACTCATTAACTTGGTTTGGTAAAAGAAACATTAACAGAAAAAACAGTTTGTAAATGTAATTTTCTTCGACCAGTTTTGAATTTTGAGTGTTGAGTGTTGACTTGACGTTGATTGACGTTAACTTCAAACTTTTATTTGGTACTGAACTCGAACGAGTGTACTTTTGCCAGTGACAACAAACAGAAAATTATTCTTTAATTATGTTCAAAGACTTCCTGACATATGCATTTTTTTTTTTATAGAATAGGGGGCAAACGAGCTTGCGGCTCACCTGATGGTAAGTGACTACCGCCGCCCATGAACAACCGCAACACCGGGGGAATTGCAAATGCGTTGCCGGCCTTTTAGAAAGGTGTAAGCTCTTTTCTTGAAGGTTCCTATGTCGTATCGGTTCGGAAAATTCGCTGGTGGTAATTGATTCCACAAAGAAGTTGTGCGAGGGAGAAAACTTCTTCTAAATCGCACAGTGGTGGACCGCCAATCGTCCAGATGGTACGGATGGTAACGCGAGTTTTGTCGCGACGTGCGATGGTGAAATTGAGCGGCTGGAATTAGTCCGAACAATTCCTCAGAGCACTCCCCGTGATAGATGCGATAAAATACGCAAAGAGATGCAACATCTCTACGCAGTGCCAGTGTATCGAGCTGATCGGAAAGAACTCGGTCGTCGACGATTCGAATCGCTCTGCGCTGGATGCGGTCAAGTGGAAGGAGCTGGCACTGGGGTGCCCCGGCCCAGAGATGAGATACAGTATTCCATGTGGGGCCGAACTTGCGCTTTGTAAAGTTGCAAGCGATGTGCCGGCATGAAATACTGTCTCGCTCTGCTGAGCACGCCAAGCTTTTTAGAGGCCAATTTGGCCTTCCCTTCCAAGTGACCACGAAACTGCACGCTGTTCGATATGTCGACGCCAAGGATTCCGATACTGGCTGAGGCAGCAAGGGGAGTGCCTTGAAACTGAGGAGATACGACAAAGGGGTTCTTTTTAGCGGTAAACGCGCAAACTTGTGTCTTCTGGGGATTGAACTGGACTAGATTTAGTTAATGCATCATTGCATTGCATACATTTTCGGAGACTTTAACGACAGCTTGAGCCAGCAGGCAATTGATGACAATCATATTTCAAGGTGCCTAAGCAGATAGATTATCTTGAGGTTCACATCACTGTCGGAGCACTTGTATTATGGTTTCCACTTAATAGTTGAAATGTGCAGAGTGCAGACATATAATACACAAAATCGCGCAATTTGTACATTTATTTTTATATTTATTGTACAAATAATATACAATAATAAAGAAGCAGTAATTCGCCAGCGGTCATATACCCGCTAAACTTTCAACTTTAAACTTCAATCAAAATTCAAAATCCGTTTTTATCATAGAAAATTTCTATATTTAATATTTCTATTAGAAATATTAAATAGAGGGGAAGAGGCAAAGGGGCATGTACTCTCTGGGGGCGGGTCTGTGTCCGCACGCTATGATCAAAAGCTCAGGTTCTATTCAAACGGCCGTCTCTGCGTATTAGTATACTTCATAGAGTAGAGTAATATATACCGGAAGTATACTTTCAACCATAATCGTGAAACAATATCAGAATGCCGTGTTATTCAGTGGTTTCTTGTAAAAACCGAAGCCAAAACAAAATCTTGGTAGATCATGGAATCCCTTACCATATGTAAGAACAAGAGTATTTTACTATCTTTATCTTTAAAATCATAAAAAACAACAAATCGTAAAATATTTTTTGCTCTTAATGCGTTATATTTATTTTCAAATATCACTGCGACGGTACTATTTTGTAGTAAATACATTGCTCCTTAACCACTACTTATGTATGTCGCTAAGCGACTGAACAAGCAATGTAAATATGATAAAATGATATAATTCATGGGGATGCATCGTGTAGTACGGCCACTGTATCTTGCGATGAGTTAGTGTTGTGCTTGTGCAGATCCACTAACGTATGCTATTGACAACAATGTCGATTGGCGAATTGCTATTATAGTTTATTCTTTCAATTTGTCAACCGTTTCAGCCCGGTGGGAAGACTGATGTGACATGATGGTATTTAATTATTTTCACCGTTTACTAGACTGAATTTGTAACTAGCGATCATAAAGTAAGTTGCTTAAATAATTAGGTTAATCATCGGTGAAGTGTTTTGGGTTGAATTATACTATATTATGCCTTATCTTCGTGCTAATTCCATACTTTTATGTTTTCAAAGGCTTCGAATGCGTTATTATACCTAATTGGCATGGTTAAGAATTCAGATAATATTATAATAGTGACTTTTGCTAAAAATAAGTCAACAGAATTCTCCTGGCTATTTATATGTTATGCATGAGTGTGTGTTTGTTTTCATATATTTAACAATATCTTGACCAACCAGGGGTTTTTTAACAAAAGCTTGCCAGGTACATGGTGAGATTCTAACAGTGGTAGAGCCACGCGGCAGCTTTTGCTGTCGCACGGATGGGCCGGCTCGAACCGGGGTAGTACCACGACCTCACAGAAAACCAGCGTAAAGTAGAGGTTTACCTCTGCGTTTCGCTTGGTGAGTGCAGGTGGCCGGAGGCCCTTTTTACTCGAAATGAGGCATTCCATCTTAGTCATCACGGGTGACAACGCATCTACAGTTTGATTTGTAACAGAGGATAGATGTAGATGTCTATGCGCCGCAGCAACCACTTACCATCAGGTGGACTGTGTGCTCGTTTGTCACCCTTATCCTATATAAAAAAAAAGAGATTAAGAAGTTGCGTAGGATATATGTAAATGATAAATAAATTATTATCGTATATTTTCAGCTTCCCAAAAGATGCTAATTTAAAAAAGAAATGAATTGATGCCACAAGAAGGCCACCATACTGGTTCCCTACAAAAACTAGTACCATATGTCAAAATACCTATTTTTTCAATACGCTATGACAATCTAAAGCAACATAACCGGATTTTTTTATTGTATTTGTTACGTAGCTTAGGTACTTAATAATTTACGTCCAGTTCAATCCCCAGAAACCATAAGTATGCGCTTTTACCGCTAAAAAGAACCCCATCGTCGTACCTCCTCAGTTTTAAGGCACTCCCCTTGTTGCCTCAGCCAGTATCGGAATCCTCGGCGTCGACATATCTAGTGACATGCATTTTCATGGTCACTTGGAAGAGAAGGCCAAATTGGCCTCTAAAAAGCTTGGCGTGCTCAGCATAGCGGAACAGTATTTTATGCCGGCACACCGCCTGCAACTTTCAAGGCGCAGGTTCGGCCGCACATAGAATACTATACCCATTTCTGGGCAGGGGCTCCCCAGTGCCAGCTCCTTCCACTTGATCGCATCCAGCGCAGAGCTGTTCGAATCATTGCCTTACATATACAAGAAACAGAAAAATAAGAAAGTTGTGTTTGTTCCAATAAATGAACATCGCTTGGAAAGGTTTAGAAGTAATATAATAAAAAGACTTCCATCCCTTTCATTTAAAAATAATGCTGATTATTTGTATGGTACGTTATTTAAAATTATAAGTTGTGAATTCAGTAAAATATTTACTTCTAAAACTCTCTTTTAACAGCCGCAAATCATTTAATGAATGGGCGACAGTAGGAATTTATAAAAGTAGGCGAGGCTTATTCGAGCTTTATAATAAATGATTATATAATAGTAGTGTTATATTTAAAGATTATGTAAAAACATATTCTAAGATATTTAACAAAGCGTGTTCCACAGCTAAGGCTTTACATTTAAGTAACAAAATTAAAACTGCATCCAACAAAATAATAAATAATGAAACGGGCAAGGTCAAACCACGGAACTCGGATTTTCAATTGAATATTAACAATAATTTAACTCGATCTCATCAAGAAGTTGCTATTGCTTTTGAAAAATATTTTACTGATGTTAATTTTTTGACAACAAAATGATTAAATTCTTCGCCTAGTGTCGCCGAATCATTGCTTAAAAAAATGTAAAGGCTTCTTCAAATACTTTTAAATTCCATAAAGTATTGCCAAAGGATATCGTTAAATATTTTAAAACTATTGATGTTAAGAAAATGGCAGACTTATGGGGGATTTCCGTTAAAGTTGTTTTATCTATAATGGATACAATAGCACCTTATCTATCCACTATATTTAATACACGCGTCGAATCTGGTGTATTTCCTGATTTCCTGATTTAATGAAACATAGTAAAATCATACCTTTATTTAAATCTGGTAGAACATTATACCCCGCCAATTTTAAACCAATTTTTGTAATACCAACATTTAGTAAAAATTTTGAAAAAATATTTTAGATCAAATGTTAAGTTTCTTTAATATTAATAAATTGCTACATAAAAATCAATTCGGTTTTACAAGGGGTCGCTTGACAACTGACGCTGGAGTGGAGCTTATTACACATATTTTTTGTGCAAGGGAGAATTCAGAGAATACTGTGGGTATATTTTGTGACCTTTCCAAGGCGTTCGACTGTGTTCACCATGAGACATTAATAAGGAAGCTACAGTACTATGGTGTCAAGAACACAGTACTTAAACTTATTATTTCATATTTAAATAATAGAATGCAGAAAGTTATTATCACTGTTAAAAGTTCTTCCGGGTCATCTGTACTAATGGGTGTCCTTCAGGGCTCGATTCTCGGCCTATTCCTATTTCTCCTCCTATTCTTTCATGATATAGTATTATTTGCTGATGATACTACCTTGATTTTTAAACTTAAACGTCATCGTTCTGTAAGAACTCTATAACTCTAATGAAAATAATTTCGGTTGTAAAACTCTCCTGCCAAGCGTGACGACGATGAGGCAGTTTATGGGGCCAATGTTCGCAGTGAATTTTTGATAGGATATAATAAATTAATAAGAAAGAATCGAAAAATTTATTTTTCTAAGTCAATTCGTAATCCTCACGAATAATTGTCAATCGATTAGCTCGATTGAAAAAATAATTATGAAAAGTCGTACTTGTTATGGTCTTATTAGTTTCAATGAAATTACTTCTTTAAAAAAATTACAGCCTATAGTCTTTGTTGAAGCTGTGTGAAGATCTACATTATTTTTAATACCTACATGAAAGAGAACTGAACATGTAATTTATACTACTATTTTATGTCTTCTGGGGATTGAGCTATATAGCTCTGTAGAAGTCGACATATCGAGTGACGTGCACTTTTGTGGTCACTTGGAAGAGAAGGCCAAATTGGCCTCTAAAAAGCTTGGTGTGCTCAGCAGGGCGGGACAGTATTTCATGCCGGCACACCGCCTACAATTTTACAAGGTGCAGGTTCGCCCTCGCATGGAATACTGTTCCCATTCTGTTCCATCTCTAGGCTAGGGAGTTGTGTATCGCTAGCAACGCAAAGTACGGGAATTTGCATTTGGAAAAATCCAAAATTAGGGGTTTTTTAGGTGCTAAATAGGTGCCAAGTTTAAAAATTAGGTGCTCTAAAATTTTCACCGCAACGAACTGTTGAAATGTGCGTTGCTAGCAAAACGTCTCGCTAGCAACGCAATGAAGTTATTAGATATACCATAAACATTAATAGCAAGGAATTAAGTGCTAATTAGGTGCTGCAAGTATACGCAATATCAAGGCGGCCCTAATAAAAATAAAGTCGTTATTTAGAACATAGCAGATGCAAAATTCAGATTTCCTGAAATCAAAATATAATCAAAATTGTTTTCAGAAAAAGTCCAAATTAGGGGCTTTTTAGGTGCTAATTAAGTAACAAGTTTAAAAATTAGTTGTTCCAAAATTTTCACCGCAACGAACTGTTGAAATTTGCGTTGCTGGCAAAACGTATCGCTGGCAACGCAATGAAGTTATTAGATATAGGATAAATATTAATAGCAAGGAATTAAGTGCTAATTAGGTGCTGCAAGTATACGTAATGACAAGGCGCCCTTAATAAAAATAAAGTCGTTATTCAGAACATAGCAGGTGCAAAATACAGGTTTTCTGAAAAGCAGAAAAGAATCAAAAATGCTTTTAGAAAAAGCCCAAATTAGGGGCTTTTTAGGTGCTAATTAAGTACCAACTTTCAAAATTAGGTGCTCTAAAATTTTCACCGCAACGATCGATTGAAATTTGCGTTGCTGGCAAAACGTATCGCTAGCAACGCAGTGTGATAATGAGGAGACGGGGCAAACAAGCATTCGGCTCACCTGATGGTAAGTGACTACTCGGTCTGGAAAAATATCTGGTGGTAGTTGATTCCACAAGGAAGTTGTGCAAGGAAGAAAACTTCTAAACTGCACATATGATATGGATGGTATAGTGGTTTTGTTGCAATGTGCGATGGTGAAATTGAGCGGCTGGAATTAGTCCAAACAACTCCTCAGAGCACTTCCCGTGGTAGATGCGATAAAATACGCAAAGAGATGCAACATCTCTTCGCAGTGCTAGGGAGTCAAGCCATCAAAACACTTCAGCACTTCGATATACCGACAGTCAACTTGGCACCGCTGAAGGGACTGCAACACCGCCCAAATTTCGACGAAATCAAAGGCTTTCTCATAGTCCACATACGCCAGACATAGCGGCTAATTGTACTCTTCGGACTTCTGTACTTTTTGCCGAAGGGTATGTATGTGGTCTATGGTGCTAAAGCCCTTTCGGAAAACGGCTTGTTCGGGAGGCTGGAAGTCGTCAAGACTGCGCACGAGTCGATTCGTATTGACTATCGAAAACAGCACGTAGATGCGGCTCAGAAGGGAAATCGGTCTGTAGTTCTTAAAGAGAGCGATGTCACCTTTCTTGAAGAACAAGACCACCGCACTTCTGCTTCACGCCTCCGGTGTAATGCCACCATGGAGGACGGAATTAAAGAGCTTCTGAAGGACTTCAAGTACCGGTCTTCCACCCGCTTTCGGAAGCTCCGCTGTAATTCCATCCTCGCCTGGAGCCTTGTCATTTTTAAGGTGCTGGAGAGCCATTCTAATCTCGCTCAGATTGACGTCCGGGATATCTTCGGAATAGTGTCGGATAAGACTCGCTCTTGGATCGTTACTCACACTTGCGTGTGGCTCCAACGATGACGTGTAAAAGCTGCCTATAGAACCTCTCAATCTCACTCAAAATCTCAGGTGCCCCAGAAACGATGCTGCCACACTCAGTCTTCAGCTTCGACAGTTGGCTCTTTCTGGCAGACAGATCTCTGGCAAAGACTTTGGAGCCTTGGTTCCGCTCGATCGCTTCTTCAATACAAGCTGTATTGAAGTTGCGTAAGTCCCGCCGCATGTATTTGGAGATATGTCTGTTCAGTTGCCTGTATGCTGTCAAATCTGTCGAAGAATGTAGCTTCATCTCCCGTCTAACAGCCATGAGATTGAGAGTGTGATTGGAGAGTTTTTGTGTTCTTCTGCGGCGGGTCTTGCAGAACTTAGCTCCGACCGCATGGACAGTTTCCACAAGCTTGTCATTCATATCGTCCACGTCATTGCAGTCTTCTAGGCACTGAAAACGGTTTTGTAACTCGAGCTGAAAGGTTTCGGGACTTTGGACTAGAGCACGAGGGGGACGGAGCGTTGACGTCGTTCGTTTAGTTTCAGTGTGCCTCTAACCATTCGGTGATCGCTACCACTTTTCACCCTCGCGATCACGGAGACATCACTGAACAGTTGTTGTCTGGTCGTCATAATGAAGTCAATCTCATTTTTTGTGGAACCGTCGCGGCTCAACCAGGTCCACTTCCTGTGGGGCCGCTTCTGGAAGAAAGACTTCATCATAAAGAGTCCCTCTTTCGCCATGAAGTCGGCCAGCTGCTGGCCCCTTGGGTTCCGTCGCCCTATTCCAAATTTCCCTACTTTCAGCTCACCGTTCTCTCTTGTGCCTAGTTTTGCATTGAAGTCTCCCATTAATACCGTATATTGGGCTTTGGAGGAATGCATGGCTCTAGAGATATCCTCATACATTTTCTCCACCTCCTCATCGGGGTGTGCCGAGGTTGTTGCGTATACCTGTATGACCTTCAGCGAATACCGTTTGGTGATTCTGAGTATAAGGTACGCAACCCTCGTCGACACACTCTCAATCATTACAACGTTGTTAACGAGAGACTTGTGAACGATAAATCCGACACCTCCTTGGAACAGATGGTCGCCCTCCCGGTGATAGAGCAAGTTGCCGGATTCGAGGATTACCGTGTCCTCCCCCTCTCTTCGGACTACGGATAACCCTATAATATGCCAGCGTAACTTGTCTATCTCTTCTTCTAGCTCCACGATCTTTTCGTCAGTCCTCAGGGTGCATGCGTTGTATGTTGCCAGGTCGAGTAGTCTTAGGTGGCAACCGAACCTCCACCGGAGATTCTTAGCACCCCCTGCCCCGCCGTTACCATGGTCGCCACCGTAGCCAGGAATAGCGGGGCCGCCGGGGACTGGGGACCGTTTCTTTGTTACTCTTATCATAGGGGGGTATTTGCCATAGTTGCCACGCTTGGCAAGCGGGTTGGCAACCGCAGTTTTTTTATTGTAAGTTTGTTGTTATCAGGAAGATACTGCTGCCCATCTCCTGCCCGTTTCCCTTTGTCGCCTTTTACGACACCCACGGGAAGATATGGGGTAGTGGATATTCTTAACCGCCACTACACGACACGGCCCCCTCTCCTATAAAGAAATAAATAAAAAATATAAAAGTATCTAAATGATATTCAATTTCATTTATGTTACTTATTACAATTAAAAAAAAACTTACAAATTTTGTTTTTTATTGTGTTTGGAGAATGTACACATCATCAAAGGGGTTCACATACTACTTTGCATTACATGTGCATACTAAGCTAAGACCTTGTTATTCTCTTCATGATATGTTCCGAGATGAAGTTATAGCTAGACGTCCTAATATCTATCACTATCTTTAGCAATGAGGATATCTACAACTTTTTCTGTCACCAGTGCGGCGCCACTTTCTAGTGAGGTGAAATATTTGTCAGATTTCATACAAGGGAAAGTTAAATTATATTGTTAAGAAAATATAAAGTTTAACGTTTCTTTCTGAAATATTGGTAATATTTTATATTAAATGGATAAACTAAACTACCTACAGATATTTCTAAAAGTAAGAGAATTAAAACAAAAACAAAGTTAAAAATGTGCAAAAAATTTAATTGAATCGCAACGTTTCACTTATAGTGACACTGTGTAATGAGGGCTAATAATCTTCCGCTCACCAGATGTCGCTAGTCGACATTGAGGTGAAGTTTTTTTGTTACACGATGTCATTTAATTGAGAAGTTAGTTTTAGATAAAAGTTTATCAGTTTCTAGAGTATTATAACTATAATACACAAAACAATGCCTCAGTGATTTGGTCGTAAATTGTTACACATTTTTAACTCTTTTTTTAAAATTTCTACTTTTATGAATATCTGGGTTGGTTTATTTATTATTAATCTAATTAATATAAAATATGACTAATAATACAGTAAGAAACATTAACCTTTACATTTTGCGAAAAAATTAACTTCCTCACTATGAAATCTGTCAAATATTACATCTCATTTTTAAGTGGCGCCGCCCTGGTGGCCAGAAAAGTAGTGGATTCCCCCTCATTATCTTCACCTCAGAGTCAACTAGCGACATCTAGTGAGGGTTAAATTATTAGCCCTCATTTAATTTACATTATTTTATACCTAAACCTAATATTTCAAACATTTTAAAGCAATAAATTATATAAGGTTTGTATGTTAAATAAAATTTTCTTATAGTAAAACTATTAATTTCGATTTATTTTCAGAAGGCATCTCGGCATTTCTTGATCCCATTTTAAATACATACATTCCGTCGGAACATGTTTTTCAACTGCGACGTTGATTCTCCCTAAAAAAAAAGAGGAATTTCATTTAGAAATTACATTGTGATTTAAACAATAAAATTAAAATAAATTGTTATGTAATGAGCTTCGGGCATCGATATATACGTACTACACACTAGATTTCGCATTCCGAACATTGACTATGTTCAACCTAAGTGTACTGCAATCCGTACAAACTAAATATTGCGTAAATTGAAGATTTGTGAATTCCATAAGATAATTATTATTACATTTTATTTAGAAATATGTTTGTTTAGATTAAAAGAAGATATTTTATATTAAATTCTTATATTTATTGTATATTGATTCTTATTTTATATCAAATTAAAGTCTTCGCGCATGCGTGACTACTACTCCCGCGCATGCGCGAAGACTTAGAGTAGGACACAATTTTTGTTTGGAATGGCTTCTCTAGACCGTAGTACATATAACTCAATGGCTTAGGGTATATAATGACACCTTCTGCTATGTAAAAATTGGGTTTTGTCGTATGAAGTCTGTGTAATAGGTGTTAACAGATGATTGAATTTGGTCCAGGCCGGATAAAGGCCTTAGTGCGACGGACCAAGTCCGCTGGTCAACAGCTGGACTAACGTATCCATGGCAGTCACCTTGTATGCACAGCTATGTTCAGAAGACACGTGATTTCAACTTATTCTTTTTTCTTTCACCTATACACTTCTTTTCTTTGAACTCAATTGACTAATTTAATGTCTGTTAGTTAACACTATATGGGACTCCATTACGTAATTCGTCCCGTGGGTGTCGTAATATTTGTCTTTGGGAAATGTCTACTGACTTTTATGGGCCAATAAAAATAAAAAGATTTCCCATTAGGTTCTGTTCTGGACGTTGCAGCCTTGCAACTGTACAAATGCTTCAGTACCGGGGCATACAGACAATCTGACACTATGGAAGGATTTGTAACACCAGCCCAATTTCAACTGAATCAAAGGCTTCATAATCCACCCACTAGATTATACGCTTTAGTCTTGTTTATAATTTGCAGATGGGCCTGTTATTAAAAACTTATAAGAAACCCACTTGTTCAAAGAGGCAATAGGATTACTTTTGTTAGTATTGTATGGGCATAGTAAAATTCCGATGACATTTCTTAGAATAGATAGTTTTACAGAAAAAAGTTTAACAACTGGCAACCTCATACCAGAAACCATAGGGCGGCAACTTCCACTAGATGGAGTGACGATCTGATGAGACATACAGGGAGTTAACAAATAGTGGGACCAGCCTTATACTTTTAAATTATTACGGCATGAAAATCTAGTACCTACCTAAAATGTTTAAGAATGAGCTAAAAGTTTCTTCATTTCGAATAATACTTGCAATATAAATTTGTACATTTGGATTTCTCTTAAAAAATGTTTCAAGCACATTGCAAAGAGGTTGCAGAATTGATGGATCATACACAATGTCTGCACCAATAATTATATCAGGGTTTTGACCATCATTTATATCCTTTATACAATTCCAGTCCAACATCATGACACCTGTAAGCAAAATAGAAATATGTGAGGATTTAACGCATAAACTGTAGTAGCTCAAAGGATATAATTATAGCTACAAATATTTTCATAGTGTTAAAGTAAAATATATAGGACAATAGATAGTACACCAGCCTAAGTGTGATCCACCACAGCACCTGCATCATTGATACTGTTACTACTAATTGTATATATTATGTTCATTCATGCAATTTGGTGAAGAAAATAATTGTAAATAAACCTGCATGTCCAAGAAATTAAAAATATTTCCAGGCCTTTTTAAAAAATTATTTAACATGATGATCACATGACCCTATCAGAAAATTAAATAGGCGTCATTATTACATCATACATACATTATTTGGCATTTTATATAAATGTTTTTAATTATTGTGTAGCATGAATATCAATACAGATTTAATTTGATCATCTAACACAGCTGGACACAAAAGTATTATTATAATATGAGAACCATTGGAAATGTTTGGATTAATATTTCTATTTGCAAAAGAATATAAAAATAAGTCTATAAGCCCTAAGAGTTTCTGCAGGTACCTGTTAAGATGTAGTAAGTAGAGTATTTACAAAATAGTAAATAACAGTTTTACCAATTTCCTTATCTTCACTTCTAAAACAAGTGCATTGAGAAGTTTCTTTCTTTTCGAACTTTGGAAAGTTTATTGCAATATTTTCAATCAATACTTTTAAAACATCAATATGGCAATCAGTCATCATAACAGATTTTGGGGTACAGAATTTTCCTAAAGTAATGCCTGTAAAACCTACACCGGAACCAAGTTCTAGTACTTTCTTATTATGAAACAGTTCTTTGTTACCAAGTATCCAATCAGACAAGATGATAGCAGCCTAAAACAAAATTTTGCATACAGTTAAAATTGTTGTTTTTAGTAAAATAACTACATGACAAGGAAAAGGAAATTGTTTTAAATAGGAAGTAGTCAAGAAATGTTTTATATTGAATGAGTATTGGAATTTTCTGTATTTTTTTTTATAACATAAGGGTAAAAAACGAGCACACAGTCCACCTGACGGTAAGTGGCTGCTGTGGCCCATAGACATCTACATCCATCTTCGATTACAAATCAAAATGCAGATGCGTCATCACCTGTGAGGACCAAGATGGAATGCCACGTTTACAGTAAAAAGGGTCTCCAGTTCTCTACACTCACCATACGTAACACAGCAGCATTAAGCTGCTATTTTATACTGGTTTTCTGTGAGAGTGTGGTCCTACCTCAGTCGAGCCGACATATTCATGCTACAAACATACTAATAATAGCTGCAGCATGGCTCCACCATGTGTGAGCATGGCTCTACCTTACTAAATATTACTTATTAAATATAATATTACTTACTTACTATTATTTACTTTATTACTTACTTACGTAGGTATCACTTCAATTGCAATCACCTGATGGTAGGAGAACACTGTCACCTATGAACAACTGTAACTGGGGAAGGACCACGCTCTCACAGAATACCAGCGTAAAATAGCAGTTTAACACTGCTGTGTTTCGTATGGTGAGTGTAGAAAACCGGAGACCCTTTTCACTAGAAAAGAGGCATTCCATCGTAGTCCTCACAGGTGGCATTGCATCTGCATTTTGATTCTTTAACGAGGATAGACATAGATGTCTATAGGTCACAGCAACCACTTACCGTCAGGTGGACTGTGTGCTTGTTTTTCACCATAAAAATTAACACCAAAGTACTTGCAGATGTGTTGCTGGCCTTTTAAAAAGAAGTAGGCTCTTTTTTTGAAGGTTCCTTAATCTTATTGGTCTGGTATAATTGCTGGTGGCAGTACTTTCCACAAAGTTGTGTGAGGAAAAGCTTCTGGTAAATACATATCATAACATACCTTCACAAATTTATTACTACATTGAGCATCATAAAAACGGCAATCTAGGTATCGGTCCTTATGAAAAACTTTTCATAAGGACCGATATTTTGTTAAAACATTATTTAAATAATCTTTTTAACATAACTTTTATACTAAAATAGAACTTGTGAAAAAACAAGCTTCCAAATATTTCATCATCTTTATTACATCCTATCAAAGACAAGTGCTGAATGCAAGCCTCCCACCAAACATTGCCTTATAATTATTGCCATAGGATATTTGAAATTTTAGTTAAGTTGCCCGTGGCAGATGGGTTTGAAACTGCATTTTTGTATTATTTTAGTTGTCATGAGAATGCTAGAGCCGTGGTAGCTCAGATGGTTAGCGCTCCCTGTTCATTTCACAGTACACGAACAACCCCACAGGCAACAATGAAATTAATTTATAAATTATTAAATTATTAATTACTCAGCTTACCACATCCTCGGCGGTGAAGGAAAACATCGTGAGGAAACCGGCATGTCTGAGAAATAAGAAAAAAAAAGTATTTCAAGGAGATGTGAAGTTCGCCAACACGCATTGGGGCAGTGCGGCGGTCTAGATCTATGTGAATCCGCATTCAAATCGTGGCGCCATAACAACCGTAGTTGTGCCGTTGTTTAAAACACATCTCTCGTCTCATCTCCTCTCCACTTTAGTAGAGTCCGGGCCTTAAGATTATATCATATCCTACCTCCCAAGTTTTCATGCCTGTAGTTCCATTAACAACCATATTATTGGTTTCTTTTATTGTGATAATATTGCTTATGTCATTGTTTACAATTGTATGTCGATAAAACAAATTGTCTTTGTCAAATTTACTTTTCATTTGAGTACATAAAAATTCAAAGATATCATCATGTATTTCTTGATATGGTTCCAAATACTGTATGATTTTCTTAATAAATAACCTACAGAAGTCTTGCCTTAAAGGATACTTTTTGAAAATTGGATTATGTATTGTTGATTTTATTAATTTTTCTTGGCCAATCCAAGATAATTCATTTATTTCTGCTGGCTGAAATCATTAAAAATATGAATAATTTTTAAATAATTTAAAAAAAAATGATAAGTTATTATCAGCATAACTACTTACTGTTAAGGTGAATTTAAGGCTTCCACTGAGAAAGCAGTGAACAAGTTTTGGAATAACACCTGTGATCACAGATTTTTCATTTTCTGCCATTTTTTCACAAAGTACATAATATTCTGTTTAGTATTTCTAAATGAGGATCGTAAGTACCTAAACCTAAATTATACTGGTGATTTATGCGCTTATCCTTCGTTGTGATGTATAAAATATCATACAATAGAGATAAAAGTTGTTTTAGGAACTATTACACTATAAAAGCAGAATACATGTACCCTGACAGGCTCGTAAGAAATTATGGGGAAATTAGAGGGTAGTATATTAAGGCCGGCCACATACATACGGAATTCCGTTTCGAGATTCCGTTTCGATATTCCGATTCAGGATTCCGAACGCAGCAAGTCCATATAAAATCTATGACCCGCCACACACGTACGGTAGTTTTCCGTTCGATATTTTGCGGGCAAAACGGGATTCCGTTTGTGTGTGGCCGACCGTTCGAAATTCCGAAACGAAATCTCGAAACGGAATTCCGTATGTATATGGCGGGCCTTAGGCCGACCACATACATACGGAATTCCGTTTCGAGATTCCGTTTCGATATTCCGATTCGGAATCCCGAACGCAGCAAGTCCATATAAAATCTATGACCCGCCACACACGTACGTTATTTTTCCGTACGGAATTTCTCCGATTCGAGATTCCGTATGGCCGCCCACATACATACGGAATTCCGTTTTGAGATTCCGTTTCGGAATTTTGAACGGTCGGCCACACACAAACGGAATCCCGTTCTGCCCGCAAAATATCGAACGGAAAACTACCGTACGTGTGTGGCGAGTCATAGATTTTATATGGACTTGCTGCGTTCGGGATTCCGAATCGGAATATCGAAACGGCATCTCGAAACGGAATTCCGTATGTATGTGGCCGGCCTATGACCGTCTGTGCGTTCGGGATCCCGAACGGAAAAAAGCCGCTCCGAACGCACGTCTTCCATAGATTTTGTACGAGTCGCAACACACATACGTAAATTCCGTACGGAATGCGCTCAGTGTTCGTCGCACGACCGAAGCGAGTAGGTGTATTTATGTATGTTTTTAAATTTTATCTTGTAGGTGTATAGCTTTTCGTAACCTTTCATCTTATTTTATTTAATAATTCCTCGATAGAATTTACATACATAAATATTTAAAAAATATCTCTGGATAGATAGATCTTTTTACATAGTATTAACTATATTGCAAGCTTAGGGTGATAAGGGGATGCACATAGTAAGAATGATACAGCAACAATGGAATTTGCAATTAGAAAATTGTCGTCATTATTCGCTGGCAGAATGTCTAGACTCAATGGCTAACGTCTCTCAACTGACCCTTGTTATTCCGAACGGAAAAAAACGTGTGTGTGTGATGTATTCACGGAATCCCGATTCGGGGTTCCGAAACGGAATCACGAAACGGAATTCCGTATGTATATGGTTGGTTTGGTTGATGGTTGTGATGATTAACACAGACTAACTAGTAGATTCTACACCATAGACTTTGCAATCCTCTATCTACGTTCTACACGAATATAAATAGATACATTTGGCCTAAAGGTCTAGATGCCAGGCCATAAACTCCAAAAAAAAAATACATACATACATACATACGTTAGTATCATATTAGTCTGTGATAAGGTACGTTGGGGTAAGATCGGTGATGGGGCAAGACCGTAGGATTCAAATTCCCGGCGAATTATGCTATATTTTGAAAAGCTAACAATATGCTACACGACGCCATTTCATCCTGCCCCGACCCTCAGTTCGCACCAGTCACTCCGGCAAGTGGGACCTGTGCTGCGTGGCATTTTATAAAACAATGTAATTTTTGTATTATTTTTGTCCATCCGATCTTTCCCTATCACTTTTATTTACGATTTTTAGCGAGAATATGGCTTCTTTTGTTATTATTTTGTGTGGATACTAATTTTTATGAAGTTATAGCTAAATAAAGCTGGTCCATGCAAGGGTAAGATCGCTGTAGGCCGAGATCCGATGTTTCCCCTCGTGAGTGAAGATCGGATGAATATTATCCGATCTTTGCCTGTTACAAATATGGCAGTGGTTGTTAAACTTTCATTATTCGTGTATATTTTTTCGTTGATTACTCAAGTGACTATGGGACTCAGTCTCGTTAGCAAGTCTGTATATTTAAAAGTAATAAAACAATACGATGGTTTTATTACTTTTAAGTACACATTAAAATACATTTTTTTATAGGATAAGGGTGACAAAGGAGCACACAGTCCACCTGATGTTAAGTGATTGCTGCGGCCCATAGTCATCTATATCTATCCTCTATTACAAATCAAAATGTAATTTATAATAATTATTTAAAAAATAATTTATAATAATAAATGCCGCTTTGTTAAACTATTTATATCTTCCTTAACTCCTGCATTATCCCGGGGCATTTCGCCAGTCCTTACTGTTATATTTTTTTTCCCATATAAAATCAAATGCATCCGATCTTTCTCTTATATTGAGTAATTCCATCTTATGTCATAACAAAGTTTGAGAAACATAAAATTACAATTTCTTTATATCAGGGATGAGATCGGATGGCAAGAAACAAAAAAAAAGAAAATCGTTTGGAACATTTATGTTTCTAGTAATTTACAGATCATATTGAAATATGTTTTTTAGCGTTAAAGATAGGACAAATCTCTTTTATAAACTTTTTTCTCTAAGCAGTAGAAGTGGTTTTAAATTTAAGTCCGGTCTTACCCCTTAATGGCCAATTTTTCATTATGCATATAAAAAAGTATGTCTAGTTTTCGCACACCTTTAAAGCAGAAACCGTTGAGTTTACACAAGCAAAAGATTCTCAGAGCTAAACTACGTTTAACGATTAACGGTTTGCTCCATGTTCCATAAATCTCACGTATACGAATGTCGAGAAATTAAAGTTTTTGGCAGACTCTTCCAACTATTCGAAAATCCGTCCGGTATTACCCCAACGTACCTTACATACTAACACAAATTAATTAAATTTTAAAATTTGTGAATTTAATCAAAATCAAATTCGATCAAGGCGAGCAAAGGTATAAGACCATACAACCTATTATATACAGGTGTCCCAGTAATGGTGGATAATCAGGTACGTACGTGTTCGGGCAGGGGGGGGGGGGGGGAGTGGCCTCAGTTCCCTAAAAAAAATTCTATCCCGAACGGTTCGCGCTCTACGCCCTGTTTTATAAAATTCCGAAAATTCGTACTTCTGCTCACATTTGTGGTCATCACGTCCGCAGTTTAATGCCTAGATCGGGTTTTTTTTTCAATGTGTTCCCTAATAATGATGTTTCTAAATTACCATTAAAAGTTTTCAACTACTACGGATAGTGTTTTACAAGACGGCACTAAACATAAGTTTAATTTTTTTACTTTATTTAACTGCTAAGTTTGAGCACCTGTGTTGAAAAAAAAACGTATAGGATCTGTGTGGCCTACTACTATTATATATAACTATTTGAAAAGTTTGCCTATATCATAAGGATTCTAAAACATCAGCATACCCTGTACTTAATGTCATTACTTACTGAGCTATAGCCATTAATGTGTAAAAGTAGGCATTTCATTACAAAATTACAAAATTATTGGCAGATAGTTTTCTTTAACATTACATGTCTTTATTAGGTAAGTACATTTAATGCCCATGAAAATTTTACTTTACTACATGCTCGCCTTGTTTGGACGAATTCTAAGCTGTGTGAGCGAGACAACAAAAAATCTAATGGGTTGATATCGGGTGATCTTGGTGGCCACAATATCGGTCCCATTCGGCCGATCCATTCTCCTTACTTGGACGGCGTAATGTGCCGGACAACCAGCATTTTGGAGCCACATTCTTCGCCGGATGGCTAGTGGCTCATATTCTAATGATTAGGGCAGCTCATTTTGCAGAAATTCTAAATAATTGGCCCCATTCAGTTTATTATTATTCCTTTTCTTCCGTTTAGTATTCCTGTCCAATAATTTATTTTAAACTGGTATTGCGACCTATCTTTTCTCATCAAATATGGGTTTGTTCGCCGCCAACTATGCAGATTATGCAAGTTAAGGTATCCGTCTCTTTTACACGTTGACTGGTCGCTCCACAAAATTTTTCTAAAAATCCCGGGATCTTCATCCATTCGCCTCAGCATTTCTCTGCAAAAAGTAACTCGTGCTGGGTAGTCACTTTGTTGATGCGTTTGCACACGTGTAACATGATAAGGGTGAAGTCTCCATTTTTTGAGAATCCGATGAGCTGTAGAGTGCGATACTCCAGTACGTCGTTCGATATCTTGCATCGAAATAGACGGATCTTTTTCAATCATATCATGGACAATTTCTTCAATGTCAATGAAAAAATATTATCGTATCGTATATCGTATATTCGTCAGGTATCGTCCTCTGCAACTGGCACCAACAATACCAGCACCAGGCACTCTCCCCTCTGAATAAATGTCATGCACTCTAGTAAACACGCTACATTCATCATAGATACAATGCATGATAGCATACTCTTGGGGTGTGTACATTTCTCGTGACATGACACAGTCTTGTTGTTATGCATAAATCATGAGTCCAGTAGAATACCGAGTTGTCACAATTATCATCAAACAATCAAAATCCAATCAAAATGCACAAGTCAAGAGTCCAGTAGAATGCGAAACATTATTTTGTAGCCAAAGTTAGAAATAATAGAGCACATGCGATGTCGAGAAGATCGAGATACTCACTAACCATATTTAACAGTAACCAAACACGAATTCATACAATGTTTTTTTTTTGTTTTATTTAATAAGCGTTACCCCCACACTAGGATTTTCTCCTGTGTCGTGGAAGCAGTTTATAAACATAAATTGCACAAGGACAAACATCCAGACCCGGAACAATTATTTGTAGGCCATACAAATACTTGTTCCGTGTGGCATTCGAACCCGCGGCCCCCAGCACAACAACTGATTTCTAAGCCACTGCGCCACGGAGCCGTCGTAATGGAATATCTTTCGATCCTTTTTACTCACATTAATCCTAAGCACTGTTTGTCTCGCTCACACAGTTTAGA